GATCTCTTGCCTCATCAGAGCTGCCAGGGGACAGAGGCTCCGGGCAAGAAAGATGTTAATATCTTGTGTAATGTAATTGTCTTTGCTTTCTTCTACTGGTCAGAAACAAGTCACAGGTCCTACTCACACTCATTAAGGGAACTAGTCACTAAAGGACATGAGAACAAGACATGAGCATAACTGGAGGTCAGCCTAAGAGTGCCCACTAGATTGCCACTCTATTTTCTCTCTTTAGATTTCCAAACAAATACTAATAATTAAAAAGAACTTGCTTAACTCTCAGTACTCAAGAGATAATATACTTTACACACATATGTCATGTTATAGATTTCCTATTCTTGGAGGGATCTTGAAATGCTAGAGAGGTCACGCTTATCAAGACAGGCTGTAAGCTCTCTTTTTAATAAAGATGAATCATTTGTTAACAAGACGCATCCTTTAATTGCATTGTGAAGGAAGGATTTGGGGAAGATCTCTCTAGTGGCAGAATACTGCTGTAGCTCTACCTAAGAAGGTATCAGAAAAGTTCTTAAAGCAGGTTAATATGAAAAAGAAAAATTAATAAAAAAAAGAAAAAGGTGTTTGTGCATCTCACCAAAACATCTGATAGAAAGTTTCAGAATTTTTCTGTATTTATATCTGAAGTTTTCCTTTGGTAGAGCTTCCTGTTTATCTTATTCTTAAACTGTGATATGTGTTGGTTGGAACATCATGCTTCCAAATTTTTAGTGCAATAATATTTGATTAATTAGTATGTTCATTTAAGAGTGAACTGTTTTAGAAAAGGAAAGGAAACTTCTCTGGTAGTATTAAATATTTCTTTTGGGTTGGTTATGGGAGATTTTGTTTTTGAGAAGAATTTTGACCTGAAACTCTACTGAGTTCCAAGAGCAATAGTTTAAATGAGGGACTTTTTCCCCTTTGACTGGAGACTTCTCAATGGACTCCACATAAGAAGAATTGAAAATCTGTTTTGAGGTGCTGAAAGAGCCACTTTGGACATAACTTGTTTAAGGCATATACTATTTCATAGTGCTGTCTCCCACTGGGAGTTTTTGTTCCTGTTTGAAATGGAAGAGTAAAACATAAAAATGGAAATAGATATATAAAATGGGAGAAGAAGTTAAAGAAAATAACAAAATTATCTGCTCTATTGAAAATAATGGCAGTAAATACTAAGCAAACTCATCTGAGTTAAAATAAACATGAATAATTAGTAAATCTTTGTGTCTAGTTGACACAGTTGGATTTCTTTGTGAGGAATTTCAGAGGGGCCAGGATGGAAAGGAAGGGCTTTTCCTGAGGGTTTTTGGGGAAAGAGGATAGTAAGGGTAGCCTTCTCCTTTGTACCAAAGATCTGTGCTGCATAGTCAAGGGAGCAGTAAAATTAGGGCCACCAGATGGTTCTCTTGACATCAATACAGATATAAACATAGCTCACTCCTAAATTATTAGTGAATTTATGTGTCTAAGTCAACATACTCAAATCCTTTTTTTTTTGATATCAGAATACAGTCCCTGAAGTCAAATTTACTTTTTTGCTGTATAATTCTAGACTAGATAATGACTTTTTTCCAACCTTCAGTCAATAAAAAGGGGCTAATAAATTGAAAGTATGCTGTAAAAATTAAGTAAGAATATAATATTGGCACACTTGACCCAGTGTTTCACACATAACAAATTGTAAGTGGTAGCTGCTGTTATTTTAACTGTATTTTTTACCTTAGTTTCTCCACTTGGGCAATGAGCATGACTAAGCATCACTCCATCTCACTGAAAGGATTTGATTTTAAATAGTATTTTTATTTTAATACCACTGGGCAAATGCCATCTTAAGCAATACTGTTAATAAAATAATAGTATATTCATTGCTTGGCATTTAATGAAGTGTCCTTTATGCAGAATATTTTAATGTAGAATGTTGGTCATCTACACATCTTTCCCCAGCAGTTAACTTTAAATGTTCATAGCTAGTCTTCTGAAACTAAAAAAAACACAACTGCAAAAAATCAAAGCAAAAATTACAAACTCATTTCTAAATTGAAATACACTTCTTTGGCCCTTCAAAGATTTATTGAGCAATAATACTGTGTTGGATATGAAAGATACGATGATGAAGGAAAATAGTTCACTACTCTTAAAGGACCTTAGTGTGTAGTGGGAAGAGAGATGCAGAGATGATTTATAATGCAACATGGACATGCTTTTGCAGAGGCATGTACAGAATACTTTGTAACAGACGACAGACTTGTGAACGCTGCTTGAGGCTATCTGGGAAGGTTTCCTTAGAAGAGACAGAAGAAGGGTGCTGATGAAGATGGAGAAGGTTCTAGGTAGAAGCTATGTTAGGATATGGAAGAGGTTTTTCAAACAAAGAGTATTTTGAGCAAAGAGGAGAAAAGATATGACAGAATTGTAAATAGCAAGAAATTCATTGAAGGCAGAGCATAGACCACATGCAGAAGACAAGTGGAAGTGCTGGAGGCTGGATTATAAAATATTTTGAGGCTCTGTAAAGGATTTTGCATTTCAATGTACAGATTGTAGAAAACTGGGTCTATAAGCAAGGGAGTGATAGGATAACTTTGTAACAAATGATGCTGAAAGAAATAGTATCATTCCCTTAAGCTTGCTGTTATTATATTTAAAAACTTTGTTGAGAATCTTACTTTCATGAAGCAAGCAGTTTCCCAGGGTCCCATGGGGGTTAGAGGATGCAAGCCGGCTCCATCCTCTCCACCCTCACCTAGGGGGGCATTTGCTGTTTGGGTAGGGAATTGTTATCTCTGAGGAGAAGAATGGATCATTTAAGCAGAGAGCTTATTTGGAGAAGGTAGTTGTATGTATCATTTTTCTATTCTTTTGATTGTGCATAGAATGTTTTAATATTATGAAAATCAGGTTTTCATAGTGAAGAGTGCCACAGTCCTCAAAGGCAATTCAAGTAATATATAAAAAAGCAGATTCTGTACATGTTACCCAGAGTGCAGGCAGTCCTCTGAGAACTGGGAGTTCTCAAAACATCTTCTCTATTGCAGAGAAATCCAAAGGGATGTGGGTTCAAATAGTTTTTCATCTATGTTCCTTACTTATGTGTAAAAATGTGCCATGGAACTTACAGACAAGAAGACAAAGAAGAAATAATTGTGCAGAAATATACAAAATGACAGCATTAGAACTCTGATTCCAGTGAGGATGTCACAATCCTCCCGTGTGGTGGATACTCTGTAATATCTGTAGTATGGGATAAAGCATCGTCTTTCCTTCTTCTCTATGAGTAAGTTACTTCATGGGAAAGTTCATTGCATTTCAGAGATTTAAACTGAAGAAGAATGCTTGGTTTCCATACCAACCAAGCCAGCTTCTCTTTTGTTTCTTACTCATTTATTTATTCATTCATTTAACCAACAAGTATTTGTTGAGTGCTGCAAATATTTATCATGTATGTATGGGTACTGGGAGGAGAGCCAGAAAGGTCAAAGTAGATCTTCCATCCTCAGAGAGTTTCCTGTCTAGTGAGGGAGAGAAATACTAAATGAAAACTCAACTATAAGTGGAATTACTATAGTCCTGAGACCAACTAGGGCTTTCCTGTCTACTGAGGGGTAATAAGATTGGCTGAACTCCTCTAGAGCTATGCCCTGTGGGGGTCCAAAGCTACATTCAGCAATATCTGGCCTCTCTGTCTTATGGTCTCCTCTGCCTTTAGGTTTCTCCTCTGTGGTAAAGCTGTTCTGTTCTGTGTGGTGGGCCAGAAGAGAAATCAGTGGATTTGGAAGTGCTATCACTGGCAGTGATGTCACAGGAACTGACAACATCAGAACTGTAAGTGATGTCACTGGAGGTTTACCCAGAACCGGAAGTGAAGACACTGGATGTAAGCTCGGCCTGGAAGTGACATCATTATGAACCTGTGTATATAAGCTGCGCTCAGAAATAAAACTGTGCTGCTTGTCTGCCACCAGTGGTCAGTGGACCTCCTGATACCAACTTTGGTTTCTGTGTCCTTTGTCTTTCTCTGTGTTTTCCTTATAATCTCCCATCCATTCCTCTCAGGTTCAGCTGGTTTGTGGAGCTGGTCTCCACAGTTCTGCACCTCTTTCAAAGAAGACATCAATGCATCCTTTCCTCAATTTCAGGTAGAAAAACTTGTAAGTGTGGCTGACTTTTTAGAGGTGACAAAGGCAGTCCACAGCATGACTGCACAGCAAATGAATGTGCAAAAGTATCTGGATATGCATGGTTTTAAATGTCCTTTCAATCACTCCGCATGTTCACTGGACTTCCATCTCTCTTCAGTACTCAGCTTTCCTATCATTTCATTGGTTCCCCCTTCTTCCACTTCTCTTCTCTCTTTCTCTTTGCCTCACTTCCTACCATTACTCAGAAACAACCAACCATCTGGCACCACAGTAACACAATGAACAATGAACAAATCCTTTTATTCTTTCCTAGAGCCTGATGGTCTCTGCTGTCATTTGGGTGTCTGAAGACATCCATAATCTCACTTACACCTTCAACTCCAAAAGGTATGTGTTATACTCAACAAAGTTATTTTCTATCCTAAAAGAGAGTCTGTTGCCACCTGTTAAGATATATATTTTTAGTCTGGATGTACTACAAATTAGGATGCATGCTGTGACAGAAAAATAGGAGGCATGATAAAGTAGAGTATTAGAATGAGGGGATGGATTTAAACTGAGAAAGTAAGAAAGGAGAGCCTCTCTGAGAAAGTAACATTTTTGAAGACTCTTTCCCAGGCACAAAGACTCGGGGAAGAGGATTTCTGTTAGGGGGAACAGCATATGCAAAGGTCTGGAGACAGGAAGGAGGTGGATACTTTGGGAAAACTGAAAAGATGGCATGGCTGGACCCTACAGAGGACGAAGAGAAAGACAGAAATGAAGGTGGAAAGATAAGCAGAGACCAGATCATATGGGACCTTGTAGCCTGCATGACTCCAATTTTAGGTTCCTGACTCTTTCCTAATGAATGACATGACTTCATGAATTATTTTTCTAAACTCTGAGTTTATTCATTTTTGAAACAGTAACAATTATGCCAAAGCTGGCAAACACACTGACACACAGACAGACAGACAGACACACACACAAACATACACACACACACACACCCAAAGGTTACATAAAGTACCTTCCCCAAGGGCCATATAATTTGGCATTATTATGAAGTCTATCCAATAGCCATATACATCACTCTGTGTCAGCCAGGTGATTAGCTGAAAACTACCTTCATATTCATTTTCCCTCCACACGAATGTTTCCTGCAGAGAGTCCCAGAATATTAGGGTTTCTGTAAAAGCTTAAAATAATGTTGCCTGCCAGCAGCACATGAATTCCCTATCAGTTTTCAGGATTTGTATCTGCCCATCTGACACACTCACTTCCCCCCAAACAACAAGGAACTTTTTGCTCTACCCTGTGACTTACTATTGTCAAGGCATAGCAGGAAAAAATCTTTGGTTTACCTCCAGGGTAAACTGCCCTTCTATGGCATTCTTGCAGGAAGGTACTCTTTTGGGTTTACTATGTCCCCATGTATTCAAAGGTGCTGAAAAGGCATTGTGCCCACTGCTTACTGACAGTGTTAATCTGGCCTTTAGCACTTTACACATCACAGTTGATTCATGTATTGATGATGATGTTCATTCTGTTATTTTCTGGAAATAAATTATTGTGTGTGCTCTCCCAATTCTTCTGACCCCAAACTACCTTACTTTTCTACTCTTGCTTTTCAACTACTAATAACCATGCCTTTTAAGCTGTCTTTTTATTGAAAGGAATAAATTAAGACATTCATTTTCACCTTTGCAGAAAAATCACCATCATATACACACACATGCTCACAATGTTGAGCACAGAGGGATTTCTTTCAGCAGCAACAATATTCACTGACCTTAGAAAACTTCCCATTTATAGGTACTTGCTAGTCTTATACAATTGTGACTTTCCATGCAGTACAATCCTTTAAGATATTTTGAGGAAATGGTATCTGCTGTGGCTCTTCCTCAAAACGAAGCCATTGACCATTTGTTGAGATTGAGTTTATTAGAGGTACTCAGAGTCCATCTGGTCTTCCTGTGAGTCAACACTTATAGTAGAACCTTGACTACTGGTATCAGCAGTTTCATAGGACTTTTGGTCTTTAGCAAAGTTGATGAAAACCTGAATTTCCAAAGGAAATAAAGCCATTAGTGCTTGACAAACCAAAGGAAGAAATAAGGTTAATTCACACACATGCATACACACACTTGTGCATACACAAACACATGAGAGAGCAAATAAGAAAATAAGATTTTATGGGGCAAGCCCACACATGTATTCCTAGACCTTCTTTTAGATATTCAAATTTTGCTAGGGTTTGAAAATAGTACCTATTTCTATAACTAAAATGATAATCATAACATAAATCTAAAGTTATAATTGAATCTACATGATCTACACTGATATCTCCAGCAAGTATATCTAGGAGTCCAACCCAAGCCCTTATCAAATGCTTGTATGATGAGAGAAAATTCCACTAGAAGAGCTAATGCACTAAAATAAAATTAGTACCAAAAGCCCACATTAACATCATGTTCAGTAAGTTAATTATTTAACAGACAGACCTTTACTACTTTGTTTAAAACCATTAAGTCTATTAATCATAGATTGACCTAGAAATTACTGAGAGTCTATTTGTGCCAGACATGGTGTTGATGGTTGGTTACAATTCAGAGGCTAAGCTTTCTGTGTCAGCAAAGCTATTATTGCCTAAAGCTCCCATAATGAACTGTCCATAAAATGCAGTGCCATCTATTGACCCGGAGGCCCAGAAGGCCTAACTTTCAGACCCATTCCAATGATGTTCTGTACATCAGGTTGGTTGAGTTGTACAAAATTAACATAATGCAAAGGTGATAAAGGATGACCTATGAAGCCTCTAGTGTTGAACATAAATGCAATTAAGACAGAAGATATGAGTGGAACAAAAAAATTCTGTACTTGCCCTTTAGTTACCTGAATCTAGTAGGTCTAAGGGTCTGGCGCCAAAACCTCTCTAAAAGCCCTCATCCTACTTTAATCTAGGAAGCCAACTAATAGAAATGTGACTTAAGAAACCTAAGGGAGAAAGCAAGGAGAGTTGACAGCTATTTTACAGAAAATAATGTTTTGCTGCTTTACCAATTCACATAACCTAATGGATATAGATGTCATGTAAAAAGGAAAAAATTCTTTTCTCCAGTAAAATTGAAGTATTACTTCTGACATTTTTCCCCCAACATCCCAAAATGCAGTTAAAAATAAATCAACTTTTTCAGGTGCAAGATCAGATATAGCTTCAATTAAACACAAATTGAACACTACTTAAAAGAAATACCCAGAATGTGTTATACTCAATGTGACTTTGTGCACGTGGATGATGGTATCCAGCGTACCTCTTCCAGAGTGGTCTGACTAACTGAGAAATTCGTGATATTTAAAGCAGCCTTGTTGGCTTCCAACAGATCGAAAATGTTTGCCACTCCTCCTGCTGTGACTGGTACATGGTATTCCAGCATGCTGAGGTGCTGATCCTAAGGGAACCAAAGGGGAAAACTATTTCACCAAGTCAGGTAATATTGACTTGATTAGACATGACTTGACCAAGAGCTAAGGAAATCATTGAATTTCATTCCGCTGAAAATTATGCTACACTGTAAATAATGGCTATGTTTCAAAACTAATGACTCGCAAAGATGAGACAAAGAGTTTTATGAGTATGAAAGAGAAAACAAATTAAAAAGTTGATGAGAATTCCAAAACATTCTACATTTATGTGTACTTATAGGGTCATTATAGGCTTGCCTAGGAAAAAAACACATTGTGGAATGATATTTCAGATGTCAGATTATGCTCATCCTTACGTAAGATATTCAGAGATCACTTTTAGAAATGTCATTTTTTTTTAATGTCACAATTATCCTAAAAGGCTAGGGATTAGCTGTTCAATTTATATTGGGTAAAGAGGCTAGATTTCAAAAGCATTGTTAGGAAAACCCTCATTCAAATAATGCCACATCTTTTCTCAACTCATTCTAAAATTCATTTCAATTTCTTTATTTAGTCTCTAGTATTAATGTCTACTTAGTAATCTATTCTTAATCCCTTGGAGTATCTTTGTATCTTGCTTTCCTGCATATTTAATCAGTTACCATATCCTACTTACTTTTCCTCTAAAATAACTTTCAAACTTAACCTTTCCTCTTGATTTTCACAATCAATATTATTAACCTGATGCTCATCGCTTTGCATCTGAGTTACTGCCAATGCCTCTTCGGAAGCCTAGAAACTATGAACGGTCATGTATTCTGGCACAAAGCAGCCAGGCTAATCTCTCTTAAACATCCTTTGTTAGGGATGTTTTCTTGCTCCAGAATCTACCCCTGCAACCTATTTGGATCAGATCAAGGCTAATGCATTCTAACCTGGTAGTCAAGACTTCATTGCTGCAAACGCCTCTTCTCACTCTTTGCTCACTGCCTTCCCCCTTTCACCAACTTGTGTTTGCATCACACCTGTCTTTGCATTCAGGCTCTCTTACTTATTTTTACTCCCAGATTGTTATTCTTGCTGTTTCCCTTCTAGACATCTAAAAACCACCATACAAGTGTATAGAACGGTCTGTTGAGGAAGAAATAAGACTTTTAGCATAACTTTCTTAGCCATGTGTAGTCCTGTTTCCATAAGGAACACACCTGGGTGAATGTAATCGCATTTCTCAGTGAATAAACACAGGTGTTAACCCCGAAATTCATTGGGGGAAAAAAAAGCACTATGACTAACTGATTTGTGCAAGAAAAGGGTCCTTTAATTTTTAAATTTGGTTTTAATTTACATGATAGAATATAGGCTTTGATAAGAATCATAAAAGCTATTGTTCCTTGGAGAAATTAGCCAAGGTTTGGGAGGTTGAGGCAAAGGTATTTTAGAGATAAAAACTTGTTTTTCAAAATGCACTCAATTTTGCTCTCTACAATCACTTCACATCAATATGGTGCCTTATAGTTTACGAAGTATCTTTGTGGATATTTTATCATTTATTTCTTGCACCAATCTTGTGAAGTAGATGTCATGCTTGTTATTTTACAAATGAGAAAAAATGAGGCTCAGAGACTTTAAATGTCTTGCTGAAAATCACACAGGCAGAACTGGACCTCAGCCCTTCTTCCAATTTTTTTTTCATGATTCCACAACTGATTTCCTTTAAAAACAACCAGTTGCTATAATCACCTTGTACAAATTACCTGTACATCAAAGATGTTATGATGATAACCTTTTTTGTCAAGTGCATTTATTTTATGTACAATGTGAGATATATTCACATTTATCTGTGTGAGTTCAGTAAAATTAATTGAACAATGTTTCCACTAGTGTGGGACTTAGGAGCTTGATTTCCAAGAAGTTCCTCTCAAACGTTTTTGGACTTATCTTTCAAATGAGGGGAGCAAAGGAGAAGATAGTCTCTTCTAGTTGTGACATTATGAAACTCTGGAGCTTATTTTTTTCTAAGAAGAAATACTCTTGGTCATATAATATCTGTCATCCCTCAGTTCTCTGAAATACGTAACTTGTTGACTAGTTATGCATACAACTTGAACATTAACGTAGTGTGGTCATAAAGCCTTTATGTGGAAGAAAAAAAGGTATGTACAAGGACCTTGTTACTTTTAAACAGCTACTAAAAATGTACAATTAATTGGAAGGTTCTATTTGTTCATGCTGTGTGTGTTTTAGAGTACCTCATGCACCTTGAACTAGATAATATACTAAGATTAATAATAAAGCTATGGTCAACCTGAAAATGACATACATCTATTATGATATTAGATTATGACTAACAAAACCAATCAAGATCAAAAGGCAGGATGATCTCTTACTTTTAAATATGTTTTTGGAAAGTGCAGCTGCATGAACCTTGTCAGGGCCTCCATGCTCACTTTAGTATTCTTCAAGTGAACCTTGACAGTAAATCCTCGTCCAAACCTAGAAAGAAAAAGTGCAAGACACAATATGAGCTACATTTTGCTGAAATAGCTCCCCTGGAATTCTAGATAATGAAACAGGACCCAAGCTGATCATTAGAGCCCCTTTTCTTATATACCAACTGTAATTTTGTCATAAAAGTTCAGAGCATGTTGCAAAATGGAAATAGTAGATTGCCATGATTTTTTATTTAGTTCTACCACTATACAGAGTCAGTCTCTTTGGACAAAAGCTGTGTTAGAAAGAAGGCATAAAATCCTTGGCTTTCTTTGACATCTATGAATTGGCAATAGATGTCAATTTCTGGGGTAAATACTTTCTCATTTAAAGCAAACAGTCTTGAGAGGCAGGTCACTATAGATTTGGTATCAGCAGTGAAGATTAAAATCATTGGGTTTTAAAAATAAATAAGTAATATGCTAGTTGACTGCTTATGCCAAGAATAGAATTTGTAAAAAGTCACAATAGACTCTCTGAGAACAACATATAAGGCCCCTTTCATCCTTTTTTCTCATCTTGGTTAATACTATCTTACAAAAAGCCAAGTTGTACAGATAAAGGTATAAAGTAAGATTCTGAAGTTTTGAGATTGACATGGGTATGTATACATGCATACGCATTCTAGCAAATAAAAAATATTAATTTAATTCTAATTTGATAATATGATATTTATTACTTATACATTTCACCCATTTATTCCTGGTTGAAAGGTTTTGAATATGGTGAAAATATTAAATAACTTATTGAAAGCCTATGCAAGTGGCAAATGAAAATGCTAGGTAAAAATCTATGTCTCCATGTACTTGTCAAGGTCTAATTTGCTATTGAGTAAACTCTTGAAAACTGCTCCCAGAGAGTATTTTGGTTGTGGATATTTTTTTAAGCTTCTCAGATTTGTTAACTAAAAAGACATTCAACCCTTAGTAAGGTAATTTAACTTTAAGGTAAATCAGTGATTAGTGTCTTTAGTCTAATTTTCCTACACATTGCAGGACAGGCTGCTGAGATAATCCTTGAAGGCGAGTAGAATGCTGTTAGATCCATACCCTCTACCATATATTAAACAGTGCATTTGTTTTTCACCTGCTCTTTATATGCTGCAAAGATCCAATACACTGGAACCTTCCATTCACCATAATAGCCAACCTGGTACAGAGAGCTTCACATTCTTCCATGCTGAAAGACAGCAGAAGCACATCAGAATTCTGGGCATAGAAAATCTGGTTTAAGTTCATGAATATAAGCTTAACTGTTTCATCATGGCCCTTCAAAAATACTGTTTCAGTTCCTTACAATGTATTTTCCCTTCAGGAACAAAAACTATTTTAAAATATAAATCAGATGTTCTCACATAGGGTTTATTACTATTTCTTCTCAAACTTGAGACCATTTCTCTCACCGGGAATGGCCTCTCTAACAAACACAGGATTTCCTTCAAGCTCTTTCAAGCTTTGTCTGGAGACCTACATTTCCTAAGGAATATTTCGAAAATAATTCAGAGCTGTTTTCATTTTGCCTCATCCTCCGCATTCAGCTGGCTTTTATGTTTTTGTATTTATAAGTAGTTGACGTGTACTTGATTCACTGAAGGAGATCTCAGATATCACCCTGTCCATGTCAGGTAACAGTTAATGGAAATTAAGTACTGGTTCCAGAACAGGCAATGTGCTGAGGCAAAGCTCAGACATCAACAAGCCTCTTGATTATAAACAAATCTAGTACTTTTTCTACTACATGATAATTACAATGAGAGAATGAACTTAATACAAGACCAACCTTATAAGAAAGACAGATGAAATGCTTCAGTAGCTTTTTTACTTAACCAATTGGAAGGGTCTACCTCCTGAAGGAGGCCCGGAAGCTGGTTCTTAAAGGACCAGTAAAATTAGAACTTGGAAAGACCTTGTGAAAAGACCACTTCAGATAGAAAGCACAGCCAAAGAAAGGACTTGTCGAGAGGAAACGGCAGTGAGGGTATCGGGAACCATGCGTCATTCAGACTCACTGAGAGGAGAGGAAAAAATACTGGAAATTTTGATAAGGCCATTTAATAAAAGGCCTTGATTCTAAACCTGGGGATGCTGAACTTTACATGATAGGAAATAGGGAGTCATAGTTGAGTCCAGTAGGTCCTAAGTCATGAAAAATTTGTTTTTTGAAATTGATTAGGCCCTGTGCCACCTACACAGGAGCTGGATTCTCATGACGGCACCAACCTTACTTGTTCCTATGACCATAAATATCAAACACTTTCATCCAGTTGTGTGTATTCTTTATCAACATATAGAATGCAGGATTACCTTTTCCCATCTATCATCCTAACATCATGTCTTTGGACTTTAAAATTCTTACACTCGTTTGTTTACCTGTGTGATGTGAGGATGACGGAACTTTTGTTCTGTACTTCCTCTGAAATAATCTTCCATAGATGCCGTTTTGACTTAGGATCCATCCCAGAGCTTGGCTCATCCTTAATAGAAAGTTACAAGAAAAATTTATCAAATTAATTAAATTTTGATGAGGTTCTTTACATGAATCAGTGCATCTCACTTGCCTAGAACAGAAAGCACTTTGTGAAGTCCTGTGACTAACTTGTTTTATACTTAATAAGCTTCTTTCTGCTGCTGTCAAAAAGCTCAAAATTAGTCATTTAAAATTGTCAATCTGTTTTAAAAGTGTCTCAGTGAAGTTGACACCCTGTGACTTTATACTTGTCTCATATTTCTTTGGAAAAAATCCTGCCTCAGTTACTCACAAAGCAGAGTTTTTGCGTTTTAATACTACATTGTCACATATATATTTAAAGCTACATCAACAAAATTGCTATTTGCTCCTGAAGGCAGAATTGTGGGTGTGAGTAATAATTTGCTATGTGAAGCAGAGAGAACACAATTTGATATTTCAGTTAATAAGTTTGAAGTGTAGTTTTAATTTTACATTAGTAATTGAAATTTAATACTCTTGGGGGAAATAAAAATATGATTTGCAGAAATTGCTAAGTAGAAAGAAATAAGCTGTATTTTAAAATAAATGATATTCTCAAAAACTGTCCAGACATAAAATTACAAATGTAGCAATGGACAATTTAAACAAGCAATAATGGAGCCTGACATGTTCAAAAAAACAAATTATGGGTCAAGATTAGGTAAATATCAAAAACATCTATGTGTGGTAGAAAGTACATACATAGGATCATCTGAGGCTTGTTTTTGTGGTAATGGGTTAAACTGAAGTTTAAAGAAAGGAATGAGTGTTAATTTGGGAAAACTGTAAAGGATTGTCACTGCTCTTATTTTTGGAGATGATAGTATACATAGTAAATGCAAATAGAAGAAAATATCTTTCTTTCATAGCCTGTATTTCGGTTCAGCTCACTAATACATAATATTTGCATAGCACTTTTAACATTTTAAAGTACTTTGCATCAATAATCTCACAAGGATGCATAAAAATTGTTTTGTTCAATTTAAGGGACACTTACACAATAGAATTCCATGATAAGCATCAATTGTGAGGGATATAATGCATTTTAAGCATCTGGTATTTCAGAGAGACAGGCTGGACAGCACTTTATCTGGGAAGTTTAAATGATTTGATTCTCTGCATGACTTAATCTCTGGAATAATGTGATGATTTATAACTGGCTTTCTACTGCATATAGACTTTTTTGGAGTTTGGAGGTCCTTGAATGAAGGGGATCTTCTAAAATAAAGGTGAGCTTATTCATTTGAAATAAACACCTTGTACAATGTTTAGCCTGAGGAGCAGAATACTATGTCATCCCATATATAATTTTTATTTTCAGGTGATCAATTTAATTTTCCAGCTCTTAACCAAAATATGTATGTGGAATGCATTTCTTGCCTCCAAAAATTTCAGACAAAAAAGAATGGGATATTGTCAATCGTATCCCAAGCTAGGTAACTCATATGTTTAAGCAATAAGGAAATGAAATTTTAGCACAATACATTATCCTAAAATATATTTTGCCTTTTAAGTGGAAGTTGGAAAATATGCTAGTTCACCTTATCATTGATTAATAGAACCGAGTTCTTCAATATTTGGGAACCAGATTCTACCATATTCCATAATGTCCTTACTCATTCGTATATCCTGAATTTGTTTCAGCTAGTTCTTATTCCCAGGCCAACTGTTTCCTCTGAAACTGTCTGAGCCATAGCTCAGAAAAAGACATTGTTGAGGGCATATTGTTATGGCAACAAATTACTTGGTGATATGAATTCCTCTAATGAGATAGTATATGTAAAGTGTTTTGCAAAATAACCAATACATAGTGAGACCTCAATAAATGTTTATCGCAATAATGATAATGAAATGTTACACACACAGTTAGATATGTGGTTCTCATTATGTAGTAGCCTTTTTCACAAAGATTCTCTTACCAGCAGTAGAATGGAAGGCTTTCCTATCAAGGCCAGTGCAGTTGATAATTTTCTTTTGGTTCCATAACTGCAAAGAGAGGTTGCTCTGTCCTTGTAGGGCATCAGGTGGAGCCTCCTAAGGAGTTTATCAACAGTCTGTGGGTGGAAAAGAGGATTTAGATTGACCTTCCCCTGCCAAAACCCTAAAGGTGCTAAATGGAAAAAAGTTGCTTGTGAAAAGTTTTACAGTGAAGAAATACATACCTGAAAAAAATTTAAATATTTAAACACAACATAAATTTTATTTTTACTTTCAAAGGATCACTTAAAAATTAATAATCATTTAAATAGAAAACAGCAATTCTGTGGAAGCTCATTTGCAGATGGGATTCCCCCCATCAAAGGTATGTGTGTCTACAACTGCAGATTGTTCTTTCTGCTGCATTAACACAGGATTTCCTTGTAAAGTTGCGAAGAGCTAGAACAGAATTCAGCGTTCCTAAGGCAGATTTCTCATTTACTGTTGTCACTCTTTCATCTTTCTTCTTACTGAGGGCTAAGCTGTCACAAAGGCTTTAAGTCTATTTAAAACTGACCCAGTATCAAAATTTCAGTGTATTAACATAGGAATTTTGTGTCTTTGAGGCTATTTCTGTAGTTAAATAGCCCTGGCAAATAGCAGAAGCCTAGGAAGACTTCCTGAGGTCCCTGGGGTTTCCAAAACAGAGGAAGTGCCCAAAGGGCTAGCCATTCCATTAAAAAGGCAAATAATTATAGTGAAGTACAAAACTATATTTAAAAAAACAAAATGGAAGCTACTCTATGTCACTCGGGCATTTGGCAGGTAATTCCATGTTTCAATAGTTACCAACCAATGCTCATTAATCACTAACCAAGGCTCCACCAGAGCCCAAGGCAAGTATGATCCTTCTTAAAAGGTAACAGAACAAACACGGGTCAAGGAGCTTCTAAAGCTGAGTTCATGGAGGTGTATATGATCACACAATTAAGCTCAACTGCATCTATTGTTACTGTCAGGAGGAAATGCCCTTGTTCTCTAGATGCCGGCTGGGTCTTGAGGGTAGGTGGGCTTCAGAAACAATGACATTCCAGTGAACTAGTTTTTCATGCTTCTACTCACTTCTTTAATATCTTTTTCTGGAACTCCATGTATTCTGGCATAGAAATACAGATGTTCTTCCACAGACACCAGGTCATCTAAGGCGTCTTCCTGGGGGCAGTAGCCCACTAATGAGCTGTGTGACTCAGCGTGGCCCAGAGACCTGAATCGGGAGGACCGGAGACACAGGTGAGTCTCAAAAGCTACGCCTCTCTTGGTACCCGAATGTTGGAAAGGTAGCTCTATCTGATTATAGTGTTGGTGATTCTGATAAAAAGAGGTAAATAATTCCATCATAGTCACACATAAAGTCTTAAAAATTTCCACTTACTTGAATACCTGTTTTTTTCCCTAAGGATTTAATAATACTACCAAAAATAACATAGAGATCATTTCATATATTTTGTCATTTAATTTGTCATTGATAAGTTGAAACAATTGTTTTTCATACCCAGTCTTATTTCTGATCAGAATATTTCCACTTGAAGGAATTACATCTCCAGTCAGCATTTTGAAAATAGTGGTCTTTCCTGCTCCATTCACCCCAAGAAGACCAAAGCACTGGTTTTGGGGAGAAAAAAGGAAGTAAACCTTAATCCAAATCAAAGACATGTTGCAACAGTATCTTTTTCATCCTTTTCCCTTGATGAAGTAAACTGCCAGGAAAAATAAGTCACTGGAGTTATTCATGGATATTGTAGTGCTGTTGGCATTTGTTAAAACTTTCTCTTTTAAAACAAATGGGTACTGAAAAGATATATGCACCCCTTTGTTTACTGCCACATTATTTACAAAAGCCAAGATATGGAAGCAACCTAAGTGCCCACTGCTAGATGAGCAGGTAAATAAGATGTGGTATACATATACAATGGAATATTCCTCAGTCATAAAAAGAATGAAATCTTGCTAATTGTGATGACATGGATGGGTCTAGAGGGCACTATACTAAATGAAATAAATCAGACAGAGAAAGACAAATACTGCATGATTTCACTTACATGTGGAATCTAAAAAATAAAACAAATGAGCAAACAAAACAGAACAGAAACAGAATCATGGACAAAGTAAACTTGTTACCAGAGCAGGAAGGAGAGAGGAAAGGGAAAAACAGGTGAAGGGGATTAAGAGGTTCAAATGTTCAGTTAGGAAATAAATCAGTCATGGGGATGTAATGCACAGTAGAGGGCACATAGTCAATAATATTGCAATAAATTTGTGTGGTGACAGCAGGTAACTAGACTTATTTGGAGAATCATCTCTTAATGTTTAAAAATATCTAATCACTATGTTATACACCTGAAACTAATACTGCATATCAATTACAATTCAATAAATAAATAAATAAATAAATAAATAAAATGAGTACTTACATTTTTTTTCTTTAAACCATGTGAACATTTGTATATACACACAGGACTTGTTTTCCATATATTATAGCACACCTCTATGTGCCATGATAGAACACCCCACAAGTAACATATACTAACCTGACAAAGTAATTATACTTACATAGTTCACATGATTCACACAAAACCACAACTTCACTGAAGAAGCTACTGAAACAATACTTTATGTTGTTGAGTAGATTTGATGCATTTAGTTTGCATCTCTGTTTGTAAAACTAAGGGAAATGCCAACCTTCTCTTTCTCCTTTCAAAACTGCCTTAAAATTGCTTCTATGAAAATGGCAAGAATAAATACAGATGCAGTCTTAGGACCTCACGTCTAACCAAATTTTCTGTGTGCTGTCTTTCGAGGAGGCTGGGAAACTAGAAGTTCAAGAGTGCACCCTGCACGAAGGCTTCTTAATGGAAAGCCCACCCCCAGGAGGACAGTAGCTTAGAAAGAAGTCAGGGCCTAGTACGGGGCCAATCCTCCCTGCCAGGAGGGAAGGCTAAGGGGGTAAGTAACACATGGACATGTGTAAATTTTAGATATAGAATCCATCAAAGTACTCAGTGGATGACTTTCATATTTCTTGAAAAAACATTAAGGAAACATAAAGATTTTTATTTGTCACTTACCATGCCAATAAAAAGGGCAGTTAGAGATAAAATACTGTTCCCTACCTCCCCAGCGGGTATCCCAATGCTGATGTTGTTTACAGCTATAATCTTTTTGTGGATAAGTTGGTAGGTCTTTGTGAGATGATGGAGTTGGACCAAGTCAAATTCATCTGCACCATTTTCAACTCTAAATCTCTCAGCTTGCACATCTTCATCTTCATCCATTGTCTCCATTGCAGGTGAAGAACAAAATTTCCTGAAGAAGAGTCTAAAAAATGGATCCAATGATTTTGCATCAATAATTTTGAAATGCACTACTCGATTTTGACATGTGTTCATGGAATCACACTTCACTAAAAGTATTTTATCACACACTAGGTTTGTTTTACATTTGTTATGCAGCATACTACTCAAATAACTTAAAAATTAGTATGGATGCTATTCACCATATTCCTGTTCACTACGATGTTTGGCAAACAGCTTTTGCTTTCCATCAAAGGCTTACAGATCCACTGTTACAGTCAAGAATCCTAATTTCAGTAACAAGGAAATGAGCTTGTGTTAGAAAGTTACTTCCTAACAAAGAGAAGAGTCATTCGTAAGAACCAACATTTTCAAGCCCGTGATCAATGATTATCTTTTCTTAAAATCCCCTCTATTTTTCTTTTTATCACCAATTATATGGATATTAGTCTATATTCTTTTCACTGTGAACGTCTTACCTTGGATATAACCAATACATTGAGGTTATCAGGCCTGAAAACTCTGTCTCAAACCCACCTCGGTACCTTGCCTAGCGAATACCAAAGCAGAGCAAAGTAAAGCAAACCTTAAATCTCAACAAATCAACTCAGATCATCCTCCCAATGTCCCTGTTTCTTTTAATGATAACCCTGGAGATTACAACTGTGATCTGTAATCAGTTTTCTCTGAATCATTCCCATTCCCAAAATCTACTCATGCAGTCAGTCCCTCAGCACAGGAAATGCCTTAACACCCCATCACCCATCATTTTCTGTCTGTTTCTATCACCATCACAGCTTTCATTCTCTCCAGGAACCTGACACTGCTTCAGTGCCACCAACTTTTTCATTCCAATCTGCACCATTTTCCCCAAATCACACCTCCTAAAGCACCATTTGATAATGCTGCTTTCTGTTTAAAAGATTTTAATGGACTACTATTTGTTTGTTGAATAGAATCCAAACCATACCTCTTTAACCCAGCATTCAAAACTCCGTAATTTCTCAACCACACTTTAGCTCTTACTGTTTCATTACATTTATCTAATCAACTAATTTGATCATTCTAATCAAACTGTTACTCATTTCTCACATGTGCCACAATTTTTTTCTCTATCTTTGTGCTTGTCATTCCTATTATTATTATTAATTTTTGATAGGTGATACACACATATCATGTATTAAAATTAAAATGATACTGAGAATATATAGTGAAAAGTCTTCAAGTTATCTTCAGCAGAGGCACCCATAATTAGAGATAGTGTATGCATATATATGTGTAAATGTAATATATATTTCTTTTCTAACTCAATTATTGGAAATGATTGTTATGATGAATTTACACATAGTTCTGAACCTTGCAGTTTTCACTTAATAAATATTAGAAGTAATCCAAAATATTATATGAAGAACTATATCATTCTTTCTAATGGTTAATAGAGTTCCATTTATGAATGTATGTATATGATTTATTTAACCAGTCCTTAAATGACGGACATTTGAGTTATTTTTATTTTATCATTATTGGAAATGATTGTTATGATGAATAACTTTACACATATATAATTCTGCATATATGTCTTCATACTGGTAGGAAAAGTTCCTAGAAATGGAATTGCTGGGTCAATGGTAAGTATATTTTTTTCATTTATGATTCTGCTCTTACTTGACTTTGTCTTCTTTTCCCAAATCCATTGATGATAATATGTTACATACTCAATCCTCTTTCCCCATTTCTACTTTCTATCTTTTCAAACTCAATTCAAACCCTACTTCTTTTATTTATGTACATATTTTCTCTTCACCATTGAGTGTTAATCTCTTTAAGGTTAACAGTTATGCTTATTTAATTTTACTTTCTCACTCTAGAGCAGTATTTTCAGACACAAAGGAAGGTTTGATAACTATTTACTACTTGAAATGAAGGTGAATTGAGCTAAATTTGTTAAATTTTGAGCAACACATTTCTACATAAGTAATGAAAAAGCTTAAACTATTGACCCCTCCATGAATATTTTGACTTGTGTTCCATCATGGATGTCAAACACTATATTTTCATTGTACTTACCTGAGTTTCTTTATTAGCCAGTCATTGATCAACAGTCGCAAGAGAAAGAATATGGTGCCCTGAACAACCAGAGCCACAAACATCGCACCTAGTTTATTCATCTCAAAGGTTTCATTTGGGTATTCCACTCCGTATGCTTTTAAGAAGTCTAGGACCGACTGCTGTTGAGAAAGTTCAATCATACCGTAGCCAAAACAGAATTGTGGGAAAATCAGGAAAATGCGTTTGAGGGTTTCAGAAATGAGTTCTAAAGTCTGAAATGAGAAACACGAATTAAGCTCAGTGTTAGACTTTGAACAACTTAACAAAAATTTAAAGTGGATGTGGACGAATATGGGTGGATGTGAGAAGCTTATCTAGAGTGGCAATTATTTCACATGTATGCCAAACTTACATATAAATATTTACTAACAACCAAATGATGGCGATATACTAATAAAATACAAGAAGAAAAGGATTATATTTTTCTTGCGATGATCTAAGACATCAGGCCAAGCCCTGAAGGCAGGATCACTTCTAGAGCTGCTCTAGATCCTAGGAATGTAGGGAAAGCCAGGGTGCAGGGGTCTGATACAGGGTATCAGGAGGTGACTGAGTAAAGGAGGTATTGGTGCAGTAACATTTCAGACCCTAAAGTAATTCCTACTTGAAGAGGGACTAAAATGGTAAAATCAGATGGAAGGCAAGATAGCCTATCTCAATGAGGAGCAAATGGCTCATTTTCCCATTATTCATACTTGGGGCCAACCACTTGCACCTCATAAATTTTCTTCTTCCTCCTGGAGTGTGCTTGTCTATTCCTAGGCCACTTCATTTCCTCTCTATTCTTTTCCATTCAATTGCCTGGTTCTGTTAGTGCTTCCCTTCTCACTAATCATAATTGTCAGCTCTGAATGGAAAGTGATGCTTACAATGAAAGTAGGCTCCAATACACTATTGAAAGGGAATGAATTGGCTTTTTTCTGTATGAATGTTCACATGAATCTTAACCTGTAGTCCTATAACTAAGCCACTGTCCTCACCCCTACCACACCATAACAATTTGTCAGTGACCAAAAGTTTAGCTGACCAATTGGTTGCATGGTTTTTACACTGTCATACAATACATCTGACTTTTCCTCCATCACCCGACTCAAGCCCTATCAAATGCAATAGTTTTGACACTGGGTAAATATAGTCACAGGCTTTAAGCTAGATAGAACCTAAAAAGAATTTTAAAAGGCTATAGTTTCTCCTCTACTAAATTTAACAGAATCAAATGAAATTCCTCTTTTCTATTTAGAGAATGCAGACTACAGAAAATCTTTCTCTTTTGGACATGTTGAAGCATTTGGTAGTTCACGAATAAAGGATTTTACCGGGTCGTTGGGCTTCTCCTTGGAAAGAAAGTATACCACCGACAGGGAAACAATGGAATTGATGCCAAAAAAGAGGTTGATGCAGACGTAAGTGATGAAAGCCATTCCTGTTTCATGGAAGAGCCCAGCCAGCAAGTACATCCAAGAAAATGTGGCATATCTGTGTATTAATACTGAGAATTAAAATTATGCCTTATGTATTTTCTTTTACTAAATAAATACTTAGATAGGATTTCAAAGTGAAAGTAAACATTAGGGAGGAGTTGCTAAGCTTTGTAGCTAGATCTCTCTTTTATTCTTCTTTTTGACACATACAAAAAATCCAAAGGATATTTTTTAAATGACAGTAAGAAGCTTCTTTTAAGGAAGCTTGAGTAATCCTGTATCACTACAACTGCAAATTAATCCTCCTAGAGATGGTGTTACCCCATCCCACCCAGGCAAGAGGTTTTGTTTTTGCTCAGAAACAGGAGTTTCATCAATATAAATCCTGTACTTTAAAGTTGAGGAAAAATAAGGACATTACCGTAGGCTAGCTAAGCAGACAGGGCATGCTTAGAGCTGGATACCCTGTTTTGAGCAAGTACTTAAGCAACCTTTGGGGTAATGAAACAGAACTAGAGACAGAGAGATCCTTCATCAGCCATAATTGCTAACCAGATGGATACAGTCCATGCATTCAGGGCAGAGAAAATTGCTATGCTGAACATTGGTTCTATCAACCTATATTACCCTAATACAGAAGGAATATTGTGTGTATAAAAATAATATTTAGACATTTATAAAAAATATAAATAAAACACACATAAGGTATTTCTATATATATTCATAATTTGTCAATACATAAATCCATACACATTTTTCTGATTGGTCTAAAGCCCTCATTTTTATGTATATTAATTACATATGTAAATTGTTATACATGACACTTGTTATCCAGTAAGTGCTCAGTAATTGTAGGTGTTACTGTTAATAACGACATTCATTTTCAGAAGGATTGTACTTTACAACCACAGACTAGTAAATGTAATGTATTGTTAGTCATCACTCATGGCTAATGAAACCCCAAGACAATTGTAAATTAGCTAATGAGATTTAGGTCCTGTTTTTGCCTGGGAGCATTTCATTCTGTTAACTCTTCTTGCACTGCAGCTTACCCAAACAGCAGAAGTAGGAGAGATACGGCGCCTAGATTGTTCTCACTGCAGAAGGCAGGTAACTTGAAAATTGCAATGACACCAACTGAAAATGCTACAGGCACCAGGTAGAAGGCCTATGGGAATATGTAAAACAATGTGGAATATATGGTAAGTATTTTTGTTTAATCAATAGCCCATCTAGTTTAAAATTGTAACAAGTTGGCCTAAAATATTTGAATGAATGAATTTTTATTTATCTTCTTGTTGCTTGTAACATTCAGCTTATTTAACATTGCTCTCACTCTAGAATTTGTCTCCTGCAATATGAGGTCAAGCCAGTCTCCACCTTTATAGATATACATGGAGTCCCTGGAGTTTTGCCTCCAGGCTTTGAGATTTGGGTCATTCTGGGACGGTTTAGTGAGAAAGATAAGGTGGCCAGGTATCTTGGTATTAGACTCAGTCTTCAAAATATTGACTTCATTTTGAATGCTGGAACTCCCTCAGATGGTTGATTTCTAAGGCTTGGTTATCTGTGTGAGGCACTTTGTGCAAAACAGCAGGGCATCGGGTTCTACACATTCTTGGAATCACAGGTATGTGAACAAAGAAATCAGTGTTTCACTGACAAGTAAAAATCTTAAATGCTGAGCAGTTTGTAGCAAGACGTGCACAATGAAAGAGATAGTAATTTAATTTGAGGGGAAAATGTCCTAAATTGGCATGAGCACCAGATACATGACCACAGAATCTCAGTAGAAGCAGCCCTTCACAGAAGTGTGTACTTTCAGCTTTTATAACATTAAAGCTCCTATTAAGTCCAGTGGAGTCATTACCATTCTTTTAGATCTGACTTCTACAACAAACACATTTCAGACCTCACTGGATACATTAACAAAATGGATATGCAGTTAATTACTCTTCAACCCTTCAAGCCAATGATCTTTACAGAAACTCAGATAATTTCGCCATAACCACCAGGCAAATGCATACCACATCCTGGGCTTTTGGCCAATACTGCCACGTTTGGAGTTAAGAAAAACCATTTGAGCCTTGGAACCATTTTATGCAAATGAGAGAGCTATCAGTGAAATTCATCCTTTATTGTCCCTAATAATCTTCTCTAATGTGTTACTCAGCAAGGGCTACTTTGAAGTTTTCACTATTAGTTGATTACATTTTTATAACTTGATTATTCGGCACCATTGGGCAAGGCTATTCTGCTAAACTTCAATATCTCCACTGTGATGGTTCTTAAGCTTCAGTATGCATAAAATAACTTAGGGGATTTTGTTAAAAATCAATATTCCCAGGCTCCACTCCCAAGATATAGATCTAAGAGGTCTGAAGTGGGGCCCAGGCATATGCATTTCAACAAGCATCCTGGGGAATCTGATACAAGTGGTCCTCAGACCACAGAGATGAGGACAGGTTTATTTCTCTGTCTTGTAACCAATGGATGAGTAATTTGTTTCTTAATTTTCTGACTTTGTGGTAATAATCTGAACAAACTACAGTAAAAAAAACCTTGACAATAAAACTGATGTCTTCTACACAAATCAATCCTGTATTGTCAATGACACAAGTTACTCACCATGTCATAAATGAAGTTTGTCACCCAGTAGCATGTTACCCCAACGCCTGAAATGTGCTGCAGCTGCTTTGCTTTGGTCTGATGTTCCCTTACAACATAGGTGACAAAGCTGGCGGTGGTGACAGAGTAGCCCATCAGGATGGAGAGCGCCACTAAAATATCGATTAAGCTGCTCATTCTATAGTGAGCAATAGGGAGAGGAAAGCATACATGAGTTTTTGGAACTCTCTTCCTTTCAGAAAGATTCATGACTGAAGCCATCAACAAAACAGTGTAAGAGTTGGCTGTGACACACATAAATCTTCTTGCAAGGCAGCCAGATAATATCTTGTACACGACTCAGCTGTGACCCTGGAATAAATGTAGTTCCAATGCATCTGAGTTGACTAGGGATGTTTGATAGAAAAACCTTGGTCTCCCAGGGTTACAGAATGTATGTGAGGAATATATAGTTCTTGAGCATAGAAACAGTACTTAGATTCTATGCAGGGAAATTGAAATGATGAAGCACTCATGCACTAGACTTACAAAAGCAGATTTTGTGAGTCTATAGTCAACAAGTTCTACTTGGTAACCCCACTGAACCCCCTTTCAGAAATTCCCTTTCATCCCAGTCAGGGACTTGTATTACTAGGTCTTCTAGATTTACATTCAATCAGAAGCAACTGTGATTTCCAATTATAGTACTTTATACAGAGGCTTGACTATGCCACTGAGAAAGTAGTCTTGTCTGGTACATCTACTTACGTGGCTTGTTCTTGATCCTGCACTCCTGGGTAAGGATGACTATACATGATGATGCCTTAAAGAAGAGACAGTCTTTTTATTAGTAGCTATTAACCAAAATACCAATTTTTAGATGAATAATGCACAATAATTTCTTCATTATGCTGTGATCTAAAAAGTTTACTTTGGGGATACTCTTTTAAAGGAAGATGAGTTTCCCCTTAATCTCACCATACAATGCCATACAATGGGTAGCACTTACATGAAGAGAAAAAAAAACCACACTTTTTACTTTTTTGTGTGTGGAATGTTAGAGGAAGGGGAAAGAATTTATATTTCTTATTAGCATTACCCCCTCTATTACATTTAAATAATTGCTTTCCATTTTCTTTTCTCCACCTGGCCACATATATGTTTGTATTTCAGCAGCACTTCAAAAATGCGTGACATTTAAAGAAGCAACTCAGAAGCGACTGGTTACATGAGGCTCTCCTAAAGAATGGACGCTCACCACCCCCACCCCCTTTTATTTAAAGTACTGTTAATATACAGTCTTCTGTTGGTTTCAAATGTACATCACAGTGGTTCAGCAGTGCCCATGATCAACTTATATTGTGATTGCAAATTATTGTGCCCTTTTATCCCCCCATCACCACATGCCCCAAACCCTCCCTCCCACTTGGTAACCACTAGTCACTTCTCAGTGTCTATGAGTCTACTGCTATTTTGTTCCTTCTATTTTGCCTTGTTTTTATATTCTACAAAAAAGTGAAATCATATGGTATTTGTCTTTCTCTGCCTGCCACCCCTTTTTATTGTGTTATTGGCTGTGGTGGGGAAATACTGAGATCCCTCTGTCTTCTTTACTACTTCTATGATGCCTATTGTTCTACTGGAGTAGGGCTTGGGAGTTTCAACCATCCCTGAGGGATTTTTACTGAGATATAAACTGGCTACAAAAAGCAGTCACTTAACTCTATACAATCCTGAAGCATTGGCATCTCCCAGAGTTAGTTACACTTTCTGAGTTAGAAGCAAGTTTTTTTTTTCTCCCTTCCCTTAGCGGATGTTAGTTAGCTAGAAATAAGTGGGTAGGCAGTAGTTCCCCAAAGGACCACAATATGAAGGAAGAGACAAGAATGGTAGGGGATGGCAGTGAGGATATCCCTCAAATACTTGTTCCTATGGAGTCATAAGCTGAGTGAGAACTTTCTCACTTACTGCCCACATACTATATGTTCATTGTATTAGGATATTAAGGCCCTTTCACAGCACCCAAATATAGATTATTCTAAATTTATATTCTCTCCATTAACTTAAATTTATAATTTTTATTAAGTAGAATATGACATACTTAGAGATTGAATTCTGCAATTGCTACATGTTAACTAAAAAAATTAAGTAAAACATAGAAGCTAACAATAGTTTGACCTATAATTTGAATCACATAATTGGGGAATGTACTTTTCTTATCTTTTGTATAAATTAATGGTCTCTCTTTTTACTGAGATTCAGTGTTCCTTGGGGCCTTTCTTAAACCTTGTTTCTATATTATATTACAGGCAAGGGGAAAACACTTTTATTTCTGCTTTGTATTCAAGAATCAAAAACACTCTATTTCACCAGAGAAATCCTTGCAAATACATTTACTCCATTATGGAAAATTCTACTGAATCAATTGTTTTATACATATCTTTAGCCAGAAGATCAAGTAAATGTATCAGGATTAGGGATCTGTATCAAAATCTTCTCTGTCAGTTCATACAGCATAATAATGTCTTGAGTACAGTGATTAGTCAATTAATGTTTATTGTCTAGCTGAATCTTAAAATTTCAACGATTTCCCCTACATACAATATACATTAAGAATAACACATCTTTGGTTGTCTCTACGGTTGTACACCTAAAATGAGATGCTTCCCATTGACCACTGCCACTAAGTCAATAAAGGGTAAAAATAAACACTTGCGTGGAGGGAACAAAGTGTCAATATTTTTGGAAAACAGCCTAATTGTATAATATTTGTTAGGGAAAACAAGCAAATCTCAACCCTTTGGGGAAGAAAGAATTTTCATATTAAATTAACCACTAGAGGGAACCACATGAAAATAAGATATTGACCTCACAAAGGAAAGCTAATTGAGGAATTTTATTAGCATATTAAAATTCAAACAAAATCGATTTTACAGCCAATGCAAACTCCCAACTCATGTAGAACCCAACAAAGATGCCTTAAAACCGCTAATGTAGTGAGGAGGTGGGGATGGTAGGAGAATTATTTTTAAATTTAAAAAATAAATTTTCTTTTAGGGTCAATATAAAGTTTATGTCACAGTATTCTTAATTCCTTATACTCGCTGTAACTTAAGAATACAGTGGTGTTGTATACGTGAAACTAACCAAGATTGCATATCAACTACACTTCAATTAAAAAAAAAGATGTCAGTGAAAAGAATACAGTGGTGGGAGCCACACCAAGTCTGCTGGGATCCGAGTCATTCAAATCGCTTTGGTCTTGGTAAAGAACACTGACAATGAAACCTGAACACATGTTTCAAAAGCTGACCCTTCAAAAGCAGCATTGGCCTCTTGTTCTCACCTGCCTACCTTTGCTCCCTTTTCCCTACTCATCCTTTGAGTTCTATTCTTTCATTATCTGTCCCAGCAACACATATCTTTTGCTCTAAATAAAGACACCCTCCCCGAAATCAATTGCTCAGTAGTATCTTAAACCAGGTTACCCTAAACCCACCTGGCTTTAGCCACCATTTAACTGAACTGACTACCTTTGACTAAGCCTCTATTGATGCTCTACATCTAAGGACTACTATCAATTTTGTTATTTTCTTCATTGTTCTTCCTGCTAGGAAAATGTCAAGCAGTTGGGACAAAATATTGTTTTCTCTGAAATGGAGACTGAAAGATTCTGTTGCTAGAACGAGTATTTGACTCTAGTTTGTTTCTATAAATACCAGAACATCCAACACACACCATTATGCCCAACAACAGGGAGATGAATTAAGGTAGACTTTTACATTTTAAAAAGATACATTGTGTCTTTTATCCTATTTACTAGCCTATTTGTTAGCCCATTTATTAGACTGGAGACTCAGTCTCGAACAGCAAGTATGCTACTCAGATTTTCTCCATCTTCTATTATTATTATTTTTAGGATCAGTATGACAAAGTAATTCGAGCAAGCCTTAAAATGGCAAAATGGTTTGATGAACAGCCGGTGTATTAGAAAACATAAATCAGTCTCTTTCAAAATCCAAACCCTATTTTAAAAACTATGTCGAGGATTCTTGGGAAATCCAACTCAAGTAGAACTGGTTGAGTCCAGAGAAGTATTAGAAAAATGAAGAGGCAGGACTCAGATGGACCTGGGTTAACACCTTGGTTTCAAATCTCACTTCTGAGCCCCAGAGAAATAATAGGAAACAATAATACTCACCCTGAGAGGGTACTTGTACAGATTAGCAATATTTCATATAAAGCACATATCATATGGTCAGGTGTAGAACTTTTTAGTTTAAAAGTTTTGTCTTCATGTTTATATTCATGAACAATATTTGTCAACATTATTTGTACTTCTTTAACCTATATCCTAGTAAATAGTTCTAAAATATTTTCCTATGAGATATAGCCAGAGGTGTAAGAACAGAAATAAATGTGAAGTCAGCATTGTTATCCTTACTTGATAAATGAGGAAACTAAATTAAACTGATGTTAAGGGAATTATCTAGAACGTTCCATCTGCTGGTAGTTACTACTTTCAAACTCCTTTTAAAGATCTGTAATTTAGGTACCATAAAATGTCCGACATTGGGAGGAAATGGAATTTAATGCATTTTTACATGCAGACTAGCAAAAGTTGCAAAGTAAGAAGCTTCTGTGTAAGAGACTTTACCGTGTCGGGCAGCATCATACTGGGACATGTTGACTCGTAGAAGAAAATTATTCAAGCTGTTGAGGTAAGCTGGAAGGGAGTGATAGCCTTCTGGATCATACCATACCTATAAATTCCAAAAGAAGGCAATATATTGTATTCAAATATATTAGACTGTCTTTATATCTGACAGCCTACAGAATTTATATTTAAAATGAATTTTAAAAATAAGTTATTTCCCAATAATTTACTTCATCTTGGAAGATAATGAACAATTCCTGAGTTGTTGACCACAGACCTCTACATTTCCAACTACAAAAGGGCAGAGTTAAGGAAAACTGTTTTTCTGTTTGATAGCACCAAGTTATTAGTTGTTCCAGATTTTCTCTATAGGCAAAGCTTGAAGTAAGCTGGAGGCATCATTATCTCCATCTATGTGGCTGGTCTATAGTGACTCTGGGACTAGATTTAAGGCATCCGCAATACTAATAATAAAAACAAATGGCATATAGGCCATGCTGTAGAAAGAAATTAAATACATATGCAAGCCTTGTATCCTTAGAAACAGGGTTGACAACCTTGAAATTCACCCACTTTCTTTGCCTAATGAGCCCACAAGGAAGTTACTTTGCCTTCCATGCCACAAATGGGAACTTAAACCACTGGGATGCCTCAATTCAAAAAAACCAGTTGATAATTTTAAATCACATCTCATTTAGAGAGAAATTATTTGATATTAGAATGCCTTTGTCTATGCAGGAATATTCTGTGTATGGAGAGAGGGGGAAAGACGCAAGAGGGGGTCATTCAAATTTCTAGCACTATTATTTACTTTCTGTATAAACTTGTGAATATCAGCTATAATAGGCCCAATAATACCTCTCTTGGGATGCTGTGAGGATACAATTAGGTAGTTGTATTATAAGTGATAATAGAGCTGGGCTTAAACTCCTCACTAAATAAACATTAGTTTCTTCACCTCCCTCAAGTCTGTGTGTAACTCTTAGTACCAAATGAGAAACACGTGAAGGACAGTTTTAAATTGCTAAAACCACTGTGGAGCTTATGGGTAATCTTATATGTGTGATTCTGTGACTCGCGCCTTTTTCAAAGCTTAAGTACAGTCTAGAAAAAAATTAAGTCAACAGGATTATTTATCTCCATGAAATTCTATTAAGTTCCCATGTTCTTTAAGAAGCAAGGCTAAACATATACGGCACATACATAAGAAAAAAAGGCACAGAACATCAACATATAACTTAACAAGAAATTATAAAGGGAGTACACCCACTGAACCACCATTCAGGTTGAGAAACAAAAATTGATAGCATACAAAATATCTTCTACCTGACCCTCTGTGTCCTTCCAAATCACAGTGCTCTTTCTCTCCCTTAGACAATATGGTTGAGTTTTGCCTACTGTCAAAGTTTATAGTAAATGCAATTATAGTTATGTATTCCTTTTCATTATTTGCTTATTAATAATGTTTGGGAGCTTTTGCCTTCTTGTTGTATGGAGTTGAATTCACTTCCACTGCTGAAAGTTCAGCTGAATGAATATGTAACTATTTATTTGGTCTACTGTGGATGGGTGTTTTTGGCTTTTATGAGAAAAAGTACTATGCACATTTTTGTATAGGTATCCTGGTCCTTATGTATACATGTTTCCTTAGAGTAAATCCATAGGATTGGAACGACTGTGCTATGGGGTATGCAGTATGCCAAAATGCTTTTCAGACTGATTGTACCCATGTTTTGTTTTTACCTCATGAAAACACTTAAACATTTCAAGTTCACTTTCTCATTTGTATGACATCCTAGAAGAAAGACCGAAATCTACCTTGGCAAGTGTTCTGTTGGCAGGAACTCCTGTTATATCAAAACGAAGGTCGTTAGTCAAAGGCAGCCCAAAACTCCAACCTCCATATCTACATAAAATAACAACATTTATGTTTGTTTTAATGGAGACAGTATTCATAAATAGATCTAAAAATGTTTAATTGGGAGCTCAACTTTTTTTCCATTAGTAACACGTTTACAGTATGAAACAAATACTGCCTGACAAATACTTTACATTTTTATTGACTCTTTTTATCATATTTTAATCTAAAGTGAACATTATAACTAGAAGTCAAAAAATTCTTCTAAACAGTTGCAAATGTGGAGTAATCACTCTAAAAATGACATATTTAACCAATGCCTCCAACTTAACTGGGTCATGTACCATCTCAAAAATCTTAATATTTTAACACTTACATATCTCTTTTTTAGGTAATTTAGTACTAAGGTGATATACCATCAGTTCTTATCTTTTTTCAAATGGCTCAATTTCTTCAGTTTGCCAAACATAATTCCCTTAGTTTTTCCCTTGATGCTATACATTTTTTCTTCCTGGATGTTTGAGGGTGAGTTGTGTGTATAAAACCTGTTGGTTCATTTTCTCTTAAAAAATGAAATAGGGATTTTAAAAATCCAAGTAATAATTTTAAGAACAGATTAGTTTAAATGTCCCAAACTAGGGTTGGGTTAAAAATATAATGATGCAGTCACTCTAGAATAATCTTCTTGTGACTATCATCCTAAATGTGATGCTAAAGAGCTATATTTTTGACACATAAAGAATACTACAGCATATTGTTCACTTTTTAAAAAAAGCAGGTTTTAGAGCAATTTGTTTATAATAAATCCCATTTACTGAAAATATTTACATAAATCACTGACTAGGAAATTTCTGGAAGGATATACAATCAATAGTGGTTATATCTGGATAGCAAATGACAATTTTTTCTTCTTTTTTGCTTATTTGTAGTCACTATTTTACAGTGCATGTTAGTCATTTATGTACATTGAGGAATAAAAGCAAAGACACAGGAAAAGAGAAAACAGGAGCTACTGGAAGCCTAACAACTCCCCTCCAGTCATATTTAGGTATAATTGACAAATAAAAACTGTATATATTTAAGGTGTACAGTTTGATGTTTTAACATACATATGCCTGTGAAATAATTGCCACAATCATGCTAATTAAAATATCCATCACTTCACATAGTTACCATTTTCTCTGTGTGTGTGTTGAAAACTCTTAAAACCTACTCTCTTAGCAAATCTCAAGTATACAATACAGTACTGTGAACGACAGTCACATTGCTGTAGATTGGATCTCCAGAATCTATTCATCTTGCATAACTGACATTTTGTGCCCCTTGACCAGCATTCTCCCCATTTCCACCTTCCCCCAAGCCCTGGTAACCAGCATTCTACTCTCTGCTTCTATGAGTTTAACTGTTTTAGCTTCCACATATAGTGAGTTCATGCAGTATCTGTCTTCTGTGTCTGGCTTATTTCACAGTGTCCTCCAGATCCATCCATGCTGTTTCAAATGCAAGGCCTACCGACATCACAGCCATGGCAAGTGCTTAGAAGGCATAGGTACAAGCCTGTAGCCATGCTACACATGGACACACTTTATCCACATGAAGACATCATACTTTAAGTTTTGAGATACTCATATTGAAACTAAAGCCACTTGTCACCAAAAGCCATGCCTTAAAACTTTCCAAGTTGGCATAACCCAAGAAAAAAATGTACAAATTTAACAATATACTTTTAAGAACCAAAAAAACCCCACCCTTTTTCAATTTCCTCAAATGATCATTTTTTTAGAATCATGACTTATGTTGCAATGTAAATAGCTTTTTAGATAAAAAAGAGAATTTAACCATGAAAATTATCAATAGAAATTTGCTTCTGTTATTTCAACTTCAGAAGGCAGTTACCATTAAAAGCAAAAAGCAAAGATATGCTAAATTAAATGTCATAAGCAGAGTATTTTTACCTTTTTTGCGTAAACTCATTAGCAGTTGATATAAGATAGTTTTCCAAATGTTGCCCAGTGAGGTTGTAAATTACTTGCGAAGAGTAAGTTCTTCTATGAGGTGGAGAATAGTTAAACTTAGGACATTCCTAAAAAATAAAGTTAAAGATTAAGTTCTTTCTGGCTAATGGGCAAATCAAATGGACAATGTCTAGGAAGTTCATTCTCATGATTTGTCTATGACTGCAACTGGTAGAGTCTGTTAAGACTGTCCTCTGACTCTAAAGATCTTTGGAAAGGAAGGGATCTTGCCTATGCCAAGAAATTAGAGCAAACATTTATTATTTATATAAAGCAAATACATGTGTTTTTGAAGCCAAAAAAACACAAGTAAACTAATGTGTGATTTTTCTTTCACTGTACTGACAGGCATGATATGTTTAGAGAATAACATTAAACATTAAGATGACTCAAAATACACAGGGAAGAAAAAAAATGTTTGCCCCAAGCTGAAAAGATAAGAGTAACAGACATAAGCTCTCAGGGACTGATGGTAGCGCATGAAAGTGTGTGTTATACTAATTTAAAGGTATAAAATATAGGTTTCAGAGCTCAATTTTATACATATCTAAATCTAGATCTAATTTCATCTCTATATATACATCTAAAATTATTACATATATACATATTCCATATATATAAATCTGAAATTATTTCAAAATAAAAGTATATATATATATATAATGCTGAATTTCAACATATATTTGTTGCAAAGTTGCATATACTATATACATTATATTACAGTATAGTGTAATATATAACACACAAGTTGCAAAGATAATACAGAGGCCCTGGATATCCTTCACCCAGCTGTCCCGATGGTTAGCTTCTTACATTACCGTGATACGCTTGTCAAGATTATGTGCACTGGTACATTACTATTACCCAATCACAGAGTTTCGTATCAACCACTCGTTTTTTACACATATAAACTTTCTACGCTTCCTGACCACTTAACTTTTCATTGATGCTTCCCATACTTCACTGTCATATGAAGTTTAGTTTAGGAAAAGCCTAGCACTTTTCCAGTTTTTCCTCCCATCCCTTCACTCAATGCCCCTGAGCCCAAAGCTAGCACAACACGTGTGCACCAAGAGCATAACGTTGCAGGTTGCTCTAGAAAATGAATGCTGACTTTTGTCTTACAAAAATTGACTAGGAAAATTGTCTTAAAAAAATTGACTAGTATTGACTAGGAAAATCATTCTATAATGCCACTAGTTTCACAAATAATTAAATGGAGATACCCTTATGTACACAGTGTCAATTTTTTAGCTTTAATTTTCTATTAAATCCTACATATAGAGCTCATATATTATAAGCATATGCTTATAATTTGATTTTGACAAACTCAACACACTAATGTAGCCAACAACCACATCAGGAAACAACGCCAGTACCCAGAAGGCCCCTCGTCGAGCTTCCTTCCAGTCACTACCACTCCTGAAGTAACAGGCACAGGATAGTTATGCCTGTTTTTGTATTTCATATACATGGAATTGTATCTTATGTGCTCTCTCTTATTTGGCTTTTTTCATCCACCATTTGTTTGTGAGAATCTTCCATATGATGTGTAGTTGCAGATCAATCATTCCCATTTTGTTGTATATAGGATTCCATTGTAAAAATATATTACACTGATTTATTCACACTACTGTTGGTAGGGATTTGGATGGCTATTACAAATAGTTTTGTGTGAATATTCTAGTTAGTATGTGTCTCTTGATGAACCTATTCACATTTCTGATGGGTATATAATAGGAACAGCATTGCTGCTCGCACAGGCTATGTACATCTTCAGCATTAGTAGATACTGTCAAACACTTTCAAAACTGTTTACATTAATGCAGATTCCCATCAGCAGAATATAAGATAGAAATTTTTGTATGTACTGTTTCATTAGTAAAGTTTATCCAGACTCTAATTTTAAATACTAAGTTAGTTGGCTTTTAGTTGTGAACTGAAGAAAATACATGAAGAGTTTCAGAAATTAGATTAGTTGAGGGTTTAGAAAAATCCTTTAACATTGGGTATGACTAATATTAAAATATGCAAAGATTCCAAAAGATGCTTGTTGGATCCCAGCTTTTATTGTTAGTGGCTTTCTTGCATGGGACCACAAAAATAGGTTGCATTTACTGAAAAGAATTTCATTCAAAAATACTGTACCAAGACAATTCAGGATATAATCTTATGACACTTTGAAGAGAATATTGCTAGATTCCTCCCCTATGGGGAAGTAAGTTGACAGCATAGCAACTCTCAGAAACTAATAGTGACTTCTTTTCTTCAACAATATTTAATTTCCCCAGTGAATTTGGTTTTCTTAAAAGTATATTGACTCGATAGGCCTGGAAAACTAAGGTGTATATTTGTAGAATACAAACAGGGTAAGTGATGGTTGCACAATCTTTTCCGTTCCTTTCAGGACATGGATTTTCCTTGCATCCTGGAGGTGTTGCTTAGAGACATGTGGAGTTCTGTTCTGTACTTATACATCACTGACTTCTCAGCTGACTACAAAAGTAGCCTCCCACTGTGTTTTCAAATATGACAATCATGTCATGTGAAACATAGAGCTTTCTGGTTAGAACTGAATTGAGACCAAAGATTCATTTTCAGTTGATTTCCTCAAAGTCTGTCTTAGAATTACCTACTCGGAAATTTGTCCTGCGATGGATTTACAATAGCGAGCTGAAGTTCAAAAGGCAATATTTTTGAGCTGTCCAGATTCACATTTCTGAGCTACTAGCTTCCACAAAATGAAATTATATTGAATTTTGGGTAACCTAGATAGATCTTTCAAGTTTCGATATTTATACCTTTTTTTCCCTACTTTACTGAAACTGAATTCCATCTTACCTGGATATCCTCTGAGCAGGAGCAAACACCAAAATTAGTGATAGGTTCTCCATTTGTGGTCCATTTTTCCAGGCTGTCTATGCTTAAACACTTTCTGCAAGTAAAAATGACATTCAAGGGAGGTATATGTGTGTTCTCATGTTTATGTATGAGGGTATAAGGAAATATTTGGTGTTAAATTCAAGTGTATAGTTCTAGGTACAGTGCATTAGTTTTTTGTAACTTGAATATCCATTGCACTACCATTTTCAAGTAATCTGATATTTTATGCAGGATTGAGGGAGAACACTATTGATTAAAAAAAGCCCATGGAGTTGCCTTAATGTAGCAGGATGAGACCTTTTGATCTCTCTCTTTTTTGCTCTTTTTATCCTCTCCTCTGACAGAAAGGGGATACTTAAGAAAAGTAATGCATCAATGTCAAGTTTACACCTGCTGTGTACTATCTTGGAAGTCTGAATAAGCAATAATACGAAGTGCAAAAACATGAGAATTGGAGTCAGAAGACATATTTTAGCTTTAGCTTGTAACAACACAGTACCTACATTTCTTTAGACAAGTACCTTAGTTCATACGAGATGCAGTCTCTTCATCTTAAAAATGAGGTTAATAATTAATAGGGCTGTTGTGATTGTTAAGTGGAAATATGTCCCCAAAAGGGCTTTACAAATTATGTAGCCCCTAATGCTCAGGATTACCCTATAGTACAGCCACAGGATGAACTAAAGGAGACAGATAAAATCTGCTGAACACAGACTTCTATCGGAGTGCTGCCCTCCTCCAGCACTCATCCCTATACGCACACATACACGCACACGCCTTAACCAGAATGTTGGGGGAAAAAAAGAACAAGGACAAGAACCACTTACGAGTCATTGGCGTTCAAACACATGTTGTCAATGCCAGGAAAGGCCCACAGGGCAGAGGCCAGGGCTTCTGTGCTTGGGTCCGAATTCCTGTAATATTACAGGAGACAAATACATGATGTTCTTTTAGTCTCCCATATTAAACTCACGCTTATGAAAAATTTGACTATTTGTCTGTTGTGTTATTCTCCTAATTGTCTCATGCATTTTAATGATCATCTACTATGGATATAGCATTATATTATACAGAATTCCAACACTACCATTCAATATTTGTGAGACCAATACAAAGTTATTTGCTGCATGTTACAACCAATTGGGAAGTGACACCTAACCTGGCTATCTTGATTAAAATCTAGCCATTAAAATAAAGATCTACTATAGCTTTATTTTTAGACAAGCACAAAAACTCTTAAAAAGCTATTTGTCGGGGACAGGCTTGTCATGTCACAATAAATCAAACTGCCCATTCCTTTGGCAGAATCAGGTACTGTGGCTCTTAAGTTCTTTATTCCCCAGCATTCCCTGGCATTCACTCGGGATCAGCTGCACCCAGGAGGCATGATAGCAGTGTCTTTCAGTTAAAAGAGAGAAACTTACGCATAGAAGGTTGTCTGTTCAGAGGTACCATAAAGAGATGGGGAGATCTGGATCTCCGGATAACTGTTGCTGGAATCCCTCAGTGTGCCAAGGCCCATGGCAGTGGTCACAAAGACGATGGGGAGGATGACCTGCGCCACGAGGCCTTTCCAGTTGCGGCGCGTGTGATGGAACCTCTTTATGAGAATAGCCAGTATCTTCTTTAGAAGCAGCCCCACACCAGCCAACCTCTCTCCTCTCGTCAGGATTTTGTCTGATGGAGAAAAAGACATTTGAGATGGTTCTGGGAAATCCAGATAAATCAAGCGATAATGTCACTTCAAAAACTATGGATGGGTGATATAATGCGATGTGGTAGGAAAAACTTATTTTCTGAAGATTTGGATTTGAGGTTCAGCCCTGCATTGATTTGGGCCTGAGCCTCTCCATCTCATAAAGCTATAAGGGAAAGTGCTTTGACAATTATAAGTCACTATACATGAAATATTATTCATCATATACTTAGTAATTTTAAATGTCAAAGTGAGATATTTAGAATTTTATAAATGAATATTGTCCCTAATCCCCAAAGTCTCAATGCAGACTTAGGATATGTTATTAAATACCAATACTCAAGAAATAGCTTCTTTGAAGAGACTGAATTCAAATAGATAATAGAAACCAAAACATCAGCCTAGTCTAAAAACTCATTCCTTTTGTGGTAACAGTGATTGTAAGTCTAAGTGTGAGTCCAGTGAACTCACCTCAAACGTGGGAAAGAAAAACGTTCTCCTCCAAAGTATGATTCTAATTTAAACACTTACTCATCATTTCTCTTTTGAAATTTGGACTAATTACATGGTGTTTCAAAACTCCATTTTTGCCACTGGAGTCACAAAAAAAGAACTCACTGGAAAAAATGTCTACCCTACCCCCACCCCAAAAACTGCTCTTCAGGTGCTAAGAAAAACTCCAGGGCTTCTGAGAGTAAGAAGAACTGTGGGGGCCATAAACTGTGGCTTCCTCATAGTGCTCTTACAACTGATAATTTCAGCAGCCCCCTCTAAAAATAGGTTCAAATATAACATTCTTTCCAAATGTCTGCTGCCAAGCCCTTCTTTACATGTGATAAGATGACAGTATTCACCAACTCTGTGGATATTTTTAATTCTCCATCACAAATTATGCAGCACAAAAATCATCATCTTCATTTAGCTGATAAGGAAAAATACAAAGCTGCTTAATTTAAAATGAATTCCAATTAAACAAAATGAACAAGTTTAAATGCAAACTCATATCTCTACAAAAGGGGAATTGGAGATGGAGCTGAATATTTTAAGTTAATTAGTATGCTTTTCTGTTTCTTGAAAAATTACATGTGGATGACTTACAGGTGTACCAAATGGAGCAAATGTGTTTCCTAAAAGATAATGTCAATGAAGGGAACATTTTGACTGAAGAATAGTTTCAAATTATGAGACAAATGCAGATGCAAATATGTAACATTTACTTCCTGAAGCAGATGACCACTTTCTCATCAAAGTCTTCACTTCCATGGACTCAACAATTATATTTCCCAAAAAATAATAAATGAGGAAGAAGGTACAGGACAAATGAAACTCCTAAGTTCCAGAATTATACAAACAACAGAGATGATCTTTCCTGAGTTTTAGAGTCAGGCAAACATTTAATTAAAAGTTCTGTTCCTGGAGATTTTTCCCAAGTTAAGCACACTGTTGAAGAGACTACTCCATAATTTATATATCATTTTACTATATGCTTCCTTAAGTAAACAGTGTTTCCAGAGGCATAAATTAACAGACAGAAAGAAAATAAAAGAGGATAAAAGGTATTTTCAAAGGAGCCCAATTTCTCAGTCATGTGAAGAAACACGATTTCTCAAACATCTCTTGTGTGTGGAATTGGGGGAAATACTAGTAATTATAGGTTCGTAGCCATCAAGTCCAACTTCATCAATTCTGAGACCCTCCCCCAAAGCATTTGACCAGAGCCTTAATTTTCTCAACATCTGAATTGTTCCGCAAAGGAGGAAGGTTAGAGATGTGTTCCAATGAGGTCCCATAAAGCGTGATGACTCTTTTATTCTTTTTAACTTTTTTTGATGACTATTACCTCAACGTGAACATGTCTAATAACAGCAAGAGAAGGACCTCACATGGTACCTTTGTCCATTGTTGGACGGCACCAATTCCAAGAAGGACTTAACTTGCTGAACGCAAATCTGAAATCGTGGTTATGTTACATCTTGGAAACGACTTCTGATGGGCAGAAGGCATGTCATCACCACCCTGACAAGGAAGTTCTTTCACATGCTTCGTAATATTTTTGAGATAGAGAATTCAGTATGGTTTAATAAATATTACATATATTAAAACAAGAAAGCTTATATTCCTTTAGTGTTTCTGAATTTAGAAAGAAATTTTAAAGCTGAATTAAAAAAATTAAAATCTATCCTGTGACTTTCTTATTTACGCCATTTATTGAAATTAAGTAAAATATGCACATTAGATTCATACCATCTCTGTCTGTGAAATTGCTGCTGCTCACAGATAAATCATCAGGAGTTGAGATGCCATTGGTACTAGAATTTCCATTTTTCTTTTGTGTCAAGTGTTCAAGACTCATATCACTGTTTTTCTGTGACTCTTTGGTCAAGTTCAGAAAGACCTAGAAAGAGAAGCCAGCACACTTCAGTGACATGAAACACATGTCTTTCTTAGTTTCTAAGCTCATTTTGATTTTGAACTTTTATCATATTAATTAAGACAAGTAAGTGACTTTAAGTGAATATTTTGGGGAGTGACTTTCCATGAACACTTTTGTATGTAAAAGATACATGTTCTCTAACTGGAGCAACATGTTAGTTCTCAGAAGTCAGTCTTCTATAAGAAGTGTATTGAGATAATTTTAAGATTTTTCAGATTTTGTGAAATGCATATTTTAAAATACTGTTTAAATAAAAAACTGCACATATTTATTCTAAGGGAACAGCAAGTTATATCAACTTTAAGAAAAAAGGAAACATCCAGACGTACCTCTTCCACAGTGGTATCTGAAATGCCGTAGCACCCGATGCTGAGATCACTCAGGCCGTAGTCCAGCGCTCTCAGCAGCGACAGATAGGCCCCTGAGACCTTGGTGCTGAACGGGGGGAGCACATAAACGAGTTCGCCCCCGATGTCCTCCTTGAGGTAGGCTTCAGGGAGGTGGGACTGGATCATGGCCGTCACGGCCATTGTGTCACATACTGCACTTGCTTTTAGATTTGGACTCTGGGGACAAATCGTTAGTTAAATACTCCCTTGTCTCCATCCTGTAGCACCCAGGGCTCCTCAGCAGAGGCTGCCCCAGACTTGAGTCAGATTGCACATCACTTCCCTGGGGGCTCTGCGGCCCACCTGGGGTCCTGTACAGCTGTCTACACGTCACTATTCTGCTGGCTCCCCTCTTGCACCTCGCCCTGCCCCCTCGCCAACCCCATTTCCACCCACCCACCTCGCTGGCTCTATTTCTGCAGTCTCTCCCTGTCAGAGTGCTCCGGGTGCAGCCCGCCCCTCCTCAGGGCCTTTGCAATTGTTGTGAGGTGAGGCCAGAAACCTGGGTTTGACCAAGACGTCCAGCTGATGTGATACTCACTCAAGCTTGAGAAACATGAACCTGACACATTAATAATAAGTCTTAGCAACTGAAGGGATTCTGCCTCCATAAATTCAACAAAAATTTATTCATGACCCCATAATGAGGCATATTTTGTCTTCTACACACCTTCTTCTTGGTGAGGGTGAGGTGATAGCCATCCCCAAATGCCTCCTTGAGGTAAAACGGGGACCCACAGCAGCGCAGCCCCCCCTGCTCCAGGAAGGCGATGCGGTCACTCAGCACCTCGGCCTCGTCCAAGTGGTGCGTCGACAGGATGATTGTTCTGGCTTGAAAAAGCAGAGGAGAACAACTGAGAATGAAAACCGAAGGTACGGGTCCCAAAATACGCGAGTCAGCACAAGCGACTCCTGTGCCCGAGGAGAAGTCAGGTTTGATGAGCTACCTGAAAATCTGGCCGGGAAGAGCTGCCAAAATGAGCAGAGAGAAGTTCAGAAGGGGCATTCCGACATGGGCGGGGGTGTTTATTTCCATTTGCTCCCTCCTTATTTAGCTCATAATTTTTTTTAGGCAAGAAAGAAGATACGTTTGGAGAACACAGGGAACTCAAGAATAAGCAGAGACTAGAGTAGCTGGACTTACCAAAAGGCTGGAGCCAGCAACTGGTAAGACGCGAGAAGTAAGCTGGCAGCAAGTGACTGTTATGCTGTGAGGCTAACTGTTCACCCTTTACAGCCTGGGCACCGGGAGGTCCCCCCTACCTGCCAGTTTGTTCCTTCGTCTTCATTTCCACTCTCTCTCTCTCTCCTTGCTTCACTATGAAGAAGCAGTAATTTTGGACTTTTTGAATATTCCTCTCTGATTAATCCACTCCACTCTGATTGCTCCTCTGTTTCACATCCTGTTAGCACTTATTTAAGTCTGTTTTCAGTTTATTTTCGTTTGTGTATGTTCGGTATCTCTAATTAGATTCTAAGCTCCTCTAGGCAGAATTTGGAACTTCCATGGGATTTCATGCTCTCAAAAAGGCCAGTTAAGTGCTCCACTCACAGTGGACACTACATAGATATTAACTAATGGACCCAGAAATTTAGCTGAGAGAAGACAGAGGTTGGGAAAATAGAGAGCCCATCTGAGACTTTTAATGGTGATCATAAAATAAATCAAAAAGCCTTGACCTTGCTGGTGTGCACCCCAGAGGGCAAAACTATAACAGTTGGGTGAAAACATTGTAAGAAGGTGCTCATACCCGTTTTGTTCTTGGATATAACATCCCATATACTTCGGCGAGAACATGGGTCAACTCCAGTGGATGGTTCATCCAAAATTACCACCCTTGATCCACCAATAAGAGCTATGGATATGGATAACTTCCTCTTCATTCCTCCTGACAGAGTTCCAACTCTCTTATGACGATGGCTATACAATCCAGTTTCTTTTAAAGTCCTTCAACAATAGGAATGGTGGTTAGTTTTTTACAGATAGAATATTTGTATATTGGAAAAACACAAGAAGCACCCTGAATGATAGGTGTTCTCTAAGCAACCATGTGCTCAGCTAGGTACAAGAAACTGTGAGGATTCATGATACAGTTTTCCACTATTTATCATCCAGTTGGAGACACAAAATTAATACTCAGAAACAGCATCACAGAATATATAGCTCATTATCTTATTCACTTGACAAACACTTACAGTCTGCCTATTGTGCCAGACCATATTTTAGGTTCTGGGGAAAATCAGTGAGTAGATAATGTTCCTACCCATAAGGAGATTATGTTCGAGCATGTGTGTGTATCAAGAAGGTTGAAGAGGAAATTCAGATGATAAATATACAAGTAAGTTTATAATCTGGCAGGTGGTGATAAGATGCAATAAAAAATAACTAAACCACACTACATGAGATAAGGAGTGCCTGTGGCATGCCATTTTAGCCATCTATTTCATGTATGGTGGTTCCCTTGGAGAAGGTGACATTTGAGCAGAGACCAGAAGTGGAGAGGTAAGTCCGTTGACTTTCTGGGGAAGGCTACCCCAAGTAGAGGGAACAGTAAGTGAGAGACCCTGCCACTGGAACAGACCTACCTTAATTCAGTGTGCACTGTGGCTAATGTGCCTAGAACAGAGTGAATGGGACAATTGGAAGGAAATAAAATCAGCAGTGAGACTGGGGGCAGATCACGCAGGGCTGCTGGGCCTTGGTGATGACATTACCAGTTTCACACTGAGTGTGACGGGAAGGCATTAGAATGTCTCCATGGGTGACATATCTTATCTGTCTGATCTCTAGTTTAAAAAGGTCAAAAGGTCATTGTGGCTTCTCTTTGAAGAATAGACTGTATAAGGAGAGAAGAAGCCAGGAGTCCAGTTAGGAGGGTTGGTCCCTGTATAAACAGCCATGGAGATTAGAAACAGGATTTGGCACAATATGGGAGCCAGAGATGAGAGGTCACCAGTTCTAACATAGTAACTGGCAGAGGAAGATAATCACAGGAAATGTATACAATACCAGTGTTTTTGGTAGAAAAACTCAAAAGCAATAGTTTTGTGAGAAGATACATTCTACAGGTGCCTTGACCATAGCCTGCAGTCCTTGAGAGGAATTACCAATGCGGTTCTCATTCCTGCCGTAACGGACCTTTTTACTTCCTCGTGCAGCTGCTTTTTAGTCCAGTGAGGAACCTTGATGGAGCCATATAAGAGAAGGTGCTCCTTGGTGGTGAGGTAGTTGAACAGGACGTCGTGCTGCATGCAGACACCCATACTCTTCCGTACTGTGTGCAGGTCAGTTTTGATATCTTTTCCATAAACAAAGATGGTACCTGCTGAGGCCCCAAACAGCCCCGTCAACATGGAGCTGGAAAGGAACACATGATAAATTAGTTGTGAATCAAGAATTTAAGCTTGTTTTAGGGTTAAAAATATCTCAACTTTTAGCAAAAAATTTTACAGTGTGTCCCATTAGGCATGGTAAAACTATGAAATAAAATGGTATTGAACAGGAATAAAAATAAATATTACTTGCAAGTTTTTAATAACTTAAAAGTGTTGTATAAACACTGCATAGTGATGATGGTGAGATGGTGGTGGCAATAATGACAGGAACGCTGCACTCTTTAAAAGCAGGTCACTCTGTCTTTGAGCAAACTTCCCTGACATTGGGCAGTATCTGTCGGCTGTTAAGACTCAAATTCGTATCTCTAGCCCAGACTTCACGACTCAGTTCCAGCCTTGCTCTAGATACATTCAAGAGACAATGCCACTTCTCCATGAGATGCCTTACAGAATCCTCAAATGTGATGTGTTGAAAACTTACTCATGATCTTTGACTTCAAATCTGTGCCCTTACTAATATTACCTCTTTCAACATATAACAAATCTATAAACCGGTTGCACAAGCCTGGATGGAATCCAGGAGTTGTTTTTGCATGCTCCTCTGTCTTAGTTTCCTAGCTCCCCCCATATCTCTGCATTTTCCCAGCCACCAACACCACTGGCCTACTGACTGTTTCCCGCAACTCTGGTCATCTTCAGTCCATTTTCTGCATCATGACTACAGTATTCTCTATCTTATTAGATCATTCTTCACCGTTCAGGTGGTTAGCAAATTGGGTCATTATTTAATATCCATCTTCTCCAATAAAACGCAAGCTCCATGAGGTTGGGGAAAGGTCCTACTTTCTCACCACTCTCTCTCAGCACCTAATTAGTGCCTTGCACATAATAGACATTAAATGACTATTGTGGAGTAAATAGGGAATTGATACAATTTGTAATTCTTTCCCATAAAAAACATTGAAATACAAATAACCTACTTCATTCCTTATGTTCAGAAGAATAAAATGGTGAGTTTCTCAGCTAACATTCAAAAGCCTTCTCTATCCCTTTTCATTGGACTCTTACTGCCGATTAGAAATCTTGCTGTTTAAGCACTTTATTCTCACCAGAAAGCCAACTCTGAATTTAAACAGGTCATATAAATGAGAGAGGCTGCGTGTTCACTCATTTCCTGACCTTCTTTTGTCCCCTTTTGTTTACTAAAAAGAAAAAAAATTAATCTGAATATGCTTTGGCAGTCACTGAGCATGATGATATCATGATGATACTAAAAAAGATACCCAGCAACTGACAGCTGTCCTCAGATAATGGCGAGAGCACCAACAGCATCTTAGAGCTGACCACCAGCTAACTGATAAGTGGAGGTGAGTCACAAAAAAATTCAAAAGAATGTCACTTTAAAAACATTTAAATCTCTTGTCCATTTGGACACAGGAAAATGCTAGCTAAGTGAAGAGTGACAAAGAACAGCCCATGTACTACTCCTGGCCTTTTTGACTGGTATTTGATAACTGGTACTTCTTCTGTTTCTTTATGAATCAAAGCAAGGGTTCCCGGCAATGGAGCGGCTGGGGCTTAGTGTGTTCATACCAGAGGTGTGTAAACTGACACTTACACATGGGCCAGAATAGAAATGAAAATGAATGAAACATAATGGGCATATGAGGCAGTACAGATTGGTGGGAACCAGGGGTGAACCAGAAAGTAGGTGTCCCCTTTCAGAGAACAGTCACTAATAAATTCCGACCAATTGTCCCTACGATAGACTGTGGACTTCATGTTGCCAGACATCCTATTATCTATGAGATGGCAAGAATATTTATTATTATTAGAAAATTCTGCCATTTAAAAATATTGCCACTAAATTAGGAATCTTAAGAAGTACTGAGCCAAAATAAACCAGTACAGTGGACCAAACAAACCTGTCTGGTGGGCCTGATCTGGCCTTGGGGCCCATGGTTTGTGACCTCTGATTTAGACTCCATTCTATAGTATACAAGTTCATCTATCTAAATCCATTCAGGAGATATAATACCTTTATTTTTATGAAAGTGGTAGGGAAATATTAAATAATAAACTTTCATGACAACACATGTTGAAAAGTAACATACATCGTAGTGGTTTTCCCAGCTCCATTGGGTCCCAGCAATGAGGTAATATGCCCTTCATAAAAGTTCAGATTGAGGTTATCAACAGCAATTTTTGAGCCATAGATCTTTGTGACCCCATGCAGGGCAACCCCAACTGTAAGATCTTTGGGTTCAGGCTCAATGTTGGAGGGAAACATGTATTCAGGACCTGGAGAGAGATCAAGAGAAGAGTTGTAAGCTCACAAATAAGGAAACTGCAGCTAGAGTTAGATTTACTCTTAATTAAAAATTGAAGACTATAACAATATAACCCTTTAAATGAAAAATAGTTCTGGAAACAAATGATCTATTGTAGACTTCAGCCTTCCTCTCACTTGGTTAATGAATGAGTGAGAGTGGGAAACCACATTCTCTATGATTCTATAATCTTATCACCCTTCTCTATCAGAAAAGAGTAGTCTTAGGATACAATATGATAATAATGAATTTTCCTTTATTGAAAAGATCTCAAACATTCAAAAGACAAGTCTAAGTCTTGGTCCTTTATTGGACAACTTATGGAATAAATGTCTACTAGATATGATTTGACAGTGACAAAGCTAGCTCAGATCTGTGGTTTATAAGATCCAGTTCATTAATCACTATCTAAATCTCCCTCCGGCATCATAAAATGACCTTAAGTATGGGTCACCCTACCTCAAAAAGATGACACTATTCACCCAATGTCAGTAAGACCTGAGCTTTAAACTCTCTATCCAGTGTTGCCGATGGGTTATAGTAAATTATCCATACCTGTTACTTGGTAACTCCTTATGATGAGTGACAGATGGCTGGAGTTAGAGGTGTAGACTGTGGCCAAGGAACAAAATTTTTCTCTGTGTGAATCTAACTGGATCACAAAGGGACCTGCTGTCTTGGCGTAATTAGTACCATATGCTGACCAGCTGAGCTAATGAGCCCAGAAAAAGCCACAGTTTAATCTCCAAAAGAGTCCAAACACATATGTGTAGACATATTTATGCATGACTAAAAGGATGATAGTTTTGCCATTTAGAAAAGCATAATTAAAATCACTACTCATGTAAATTGTGTATCACTTCCAGTGCTTGTTGTGGACCTACTTGTCTTACTGGCAGATGGGTTGGTGTTCTGCATCATGATATTAGTAAACATAAGGCCGTTGCCTTTCTCATGCTTCAAGTCTGCACATCCCAGTCGTTCCTTCCAATAGGAAGGAAGGATTGGAAAATACCATGGAGCCGCCATACCATATGTACCTGTAATAAAAATGTGTTAGGAAAAATAACTATTGCTTGGTTGTTAAGATTAAGCACAAGAAGATAACAGAATACTATACATGGTTCAGGAAGTATTTTCAAGTTTTTGATACTACATAAAACTAAACAGCAGTCTCAGTTTACAAAGTAAAAAAGATAGGCTTTCTTTTATTCTTTTTTTAAATAGCTTCATGGAGGTACTAATTATATATCATAAAACTTACCCACTGTTAAGTGCAGTCAGAGAATTTTTAATATATATGTAAAGTTGTGCAATCATCCACACAGTCTGCATATTAGAACAATACTATAACTCCAACCAATTTTTTCATGCCCATGTATAAATAATCTCTGCTTCCACCCCAAGTCACCAACCATCATGGATTTGCTCATATTTCTACATTTTTGCCTTTCATAGAATTTATAAAGAAATAGAATAATACTCTTTTATTTATTCAGAGCATAGAAAAATGTTCAAATATAAATAAGGCTTGGTGGAAAATCTCAAGCTTGTTAGAAGTGATAACCACTTGAGACTTAGGAGAGGGAACCCAACTAGTCTTTTTGCATTAGAATTTGGATAATTACCCTTAGAATTAGGAGATTTGGTTTTTGCCTTATAATATTTTATAAACCTATTTGAAGACTGGATTCCATATTCCATGCTTCCTATTCACCCCATGTTTAAAGGAACATCAGAGAAGGAAATCACCAGTCTCATCCTGGAAAATGCTGTAGAGTTTTGGGATTTAAGGCCTCTTTTGTTGTTTGTTTTTGAGACTATATATGGCAAATCAGATATTAGAAAATATTTGTAATTTGATTTATAATGATGACAACCCTAAAAAGCATGTATCTCTAATAAGCACGTTCATACCTGGGAAGACGTTCCTGATGTACCAAGCAATAAGGAAATAAATCAAAGTGTCAGCTAGGATTAGACAGCAGAGCCAACCAAATGAGGTGGTGTCACCATGAACTGGAGAACTGTACATATTTTCCCATTGAAGACCTAAAAAAGTGAACCCATATATTTATTCCTCTGTGAGACAATTTGCAGTTGTGAAAGCTAAAATCCCATGTTAAAGACAGTGAACCTACCAATGCCCTGCTCCTCATATCTGGCGATGTACTGACTTGCATAACTAAATGCTGTTGGGGACAGCAGGCTCTGCAAAGAGAACAAACAGCCATGATAGTAGTTCTTGTAGATTTCATACATTTCACCCGGAAGGATGAAAACATACTTAAAACTTTGGACATAGGTAAAGTTGACACAAACTCTCTAAGCATATTTAAAAATACAGTGGTCACTAGCACACCACAACTCTGAAAGAAGAGGAGAGAAAATAGCAGGAAACAAAAATCAGGGAAAATTATAACTTGGAAAATATTTGTTGAAAGTCCCAAATATATATCTAAATTTATGAGATGTTCAGCAATTTTAGATAATTATAGGGTACTGCAATGTTAAGACTAAAATCAAATGAAATGTTCAGGGCCATTGTTACTTCTACTTCATAAATTGATTTCATGTAGCATAAGTATTTGAATGAATATATACTAAAATATCAATTGATTGAATACTTTTAATGCAACAAATTAAAAATGTCAATGTTGTTTAAATCCAAAGTAAGTCACTGGTAAATGAAAGTTATTTATCACTTCCTATTTCCATACACAGTAAAGTTTTAATATGACTTTGTCAATGATGAGACTTACTTTGCTTTCCAAATTTCAAAGTCAGTCATCTTAATGCTCTCATTAAAATTCTTAAAAGTGATATAGTACCTTTGAATGGAAAAGGTGGTCAAGAAATCAAAACTGATTATATGCCCTTAGTGCATTTATCTTTATGCCTGTAAGTTATATTGCATGTCATGAAGACCATGAGAATTATTCACATATGAGAATAATTCCAGTAACAGAGGCTCTAAGTTAAGGAATTGGACCAGAGAGAAGTTAGAATTCTCGACAATTTTTAAAATGTAATATATTACATTTTAACTGTTCTTTATTCAGAAACCATTTCTTAACAGCATCACATATTAAGGTTTTAGAAACTGTGGGGGAAGTTTCCTTTTAACAGTCTTATGCTTATATGGTATATAACAATGTAGGAGAAATGATTATTAGGACAGTTAAGCTTATTTTGTAATCATTGAACTTTTAAATTTGGATAAATATAATTTCAGTTTGAGTTTGCAAACATCATAGGGTCCATTCTTCTAATGTACTAGCCATTCAGCTGTGATAGTTAACTCACCATGAATACTTTTACTATATAGCTCAACTCATCGTCAACTGTAACCAGAACAATAAATGGAAAAAAGGCAATAACGTAGATGAGGCTTCCAATCAGAGCTGCAATGTTGGTATTGTTGAAAAAGACACTGATGAGATAACTCATGGCAATAACTGAGAAGCTGTAGTCCGAAAAATACAGGAACAAAATGAACCCATTTGTTTTAGGAAGAATATTGCCAAACTTGAGTATAATGATAAGGATGATGATGGTAACCAGCAAAAATCCAACACTTTCTATAAGCCAGGCAAAAAAGTGGCTGCAGGAGTTCACACCCATCATCTTCATGTACTGTAAAAAGGAAGAAGGGTTAGCTGCTTCTTACGCTGATATACTCTTAAGTAACAATTATTCCTGTACTATATGCGCAAATGCTGTAAGACTCTTCATATATATGGAACTAGGCTTCCTACTGACTTTTGAACTCAAGTATTTGCCCATGCTGGTATAACCATTTATACCAGCCCATCTTAGGTTACATGCCTTCAGAGTACCCCTGTATAATGAATGATTTGGACAGTGAGGTGCTTTTTCTTTTTTTTCAATTCTATTTTATAGCTGGTATCTAACTGATGTCTCCGGACTAAACTAGTTAGAATTGATCATCAAAATTTATGGTAGCCCCTGCAGAATTTTACAACATGAATTTGACATTTGCACAGGCATGAATATTTCAAGCTGGTGAAAAACCATGGTTTATTTCAAATTCAATGTAAGGAAGGAGATAATAAAACTCCACTTTTTTTTCTCTTTTAACCAAACCTTAATGAATGACACAATCAGTATTCTTGTTCTGGAGAGAAATAGAATAGACCTGACTCCTAAGAATTTAAAACTTGGAAACTTTGAAGGGAGAATTTCTGCCTTTTGCCACAGGTTCCTCATCTTTAAAATCACTGGCAATCGAGGTCAGGGTTGTCATCTTTGTTTTCCAAAAAGATGTTCATGCACCCAAAATGAAATCATGTATCTGAGATTATCTTTCCCTTTCTCTCAAATGATTGTCTTTCATAACTCAGTGATATCTCTAGAGGCCAGGGTATTCCACCATTTTAAAAGCAGATAGGCATGGTGTGTTTGCTCTTTAATGCAAAATGATTAGGAAAGATTTAAAGTCTCCTGGACTTCTGCTGTCTTGAATTTGGTGATATCGTGTCCTAAGGAAGAACTTGGATATCCTGGTTTCTAGTTTTAACAAGTACTGATTAACGTTAGGCTTACAAATCCAATATTCCATTAAGAGCAAAAGAAATGCTCTTCATAACAGCTTCATAACCGGGTAGTTTTTGTAAAATCAAGGCTTTTCAATGCCCTCCCCCTCTGAACCTAACTTGTCTAAGAAAAAAACACATAGAGAATGAGCCAAATCTTTTTCTCTACCAGCAAAATAGTGAATGTTACTTTCTGTCTTTGCAACTTACCACATTTTGATAACTCTGCTACTCCTGTTGTTACCATGGCAACTGCTACCTGTCTGCCAACAGTCTGAACTGTGGGCCTCGAGCTAATCACCACTGAGGAAAAGCCAGCGACTCTTCCTCTTCCCTGTGCGTCTCCCTCATCCTTTTCTCTTCCTACTGCTTCTCTCCTCCCAGGTCCTATCACCCTTTTCAGTAAAGACTCAACCTGTGTTTCCAGAGGAATGGAAGTGTGGGTCAAAGTGAACGAAATCAGCACAGGGCAAAGATTCACTCTGGAAGGTTTCCTCCGATTGCCAGATATCTATCACTGAAAACAAAATTACACTTTGGTGTGAAAAAGACCTCACAGATCTTATTGCAGCTTTCCCTGTACCTCAGTCCACCTGAGAAAATTACTGGGTCATGTTTGATGATGGCATTTCAGAGATATTCACCTATTCAAGTATGATCATATGTTCACTCTTTTTATTTGCCTTTCCTGCTATTTGTATTTTGAGGTTTTGGCTGAGTTTATGCCTATTTCAATATAATTTAATGGTAAGGTATACTCCAAAGCTGACATACACCACCTAATATACTTCCCTCCCAGTAGCAATATATATCCACAGGAGACAGTGTCAATATATTTCACAAGGTGGATATAAAGTTCCTAGGACACTATCAAGGACATGAAATGAAGTTGACTTTATGTGTATAAACATGTTTCCCTTTCCTGACAATTGATAGCTGCAGTATAAAACATTCTCATATATCTAGAAAATTCTCCATCCACAGCCTTGTTAAAAGGCAATTTGGCAAACCTGAAGACCCGTATTGAAGCTGTTTATCATTGTATTTTTGAAATTTTCAAGACTTAAGATGAGATACCTATTCCCAAGAGTTGGTGAAAGTTGGAGACTGATCATTGGTTTTGAATGGTATTGAAACAAGTTGGGGGTTTCCAAAAGTATTCACTACTTAATATTCTAGCATGAAATTTCAGTATTTCATGCTGTGAGAACAGCTGTTATTCATAAAGAAAAAGAGCAGTGAGAGCATGTAAGTCACCCATAAATCCAGATTCACTGTCAACCTCATTATAACAAACAAAAGCAACCTTGCTGATGGAAGGTGGCCCACAGAGAATGGCTGGCTGTACTTTCCTGGATGTTGTTAGCTCCTCTCCAGAGTGACAGGTGTCAGGTGACACCTCAGTAATCAGTCACATGTCTCAAGCCTCCCAAACCTGTGAGAGCAGATCATCAATGTGTGATAACCCTCTGCACAGTGGTCAAAGTCTGTCCCAGTTTATGGCAGAAAATAATGAAAAGAAAGAGATTCTGTAAGAACTTGGATAAACGTGTTGCCACATTCAAGAAAAGCTTATGCACAGCAACTGATATTAATGCTGTCAGGAAAAGAAATCATAAATATGCATATATTTACTTGACAGAAATGTCTTCATTCAACTTAACAAGAATGCCAACCACTAATTTATAAGGAGTAATAACATTTCTACTTCAGTTTAAAATTTTTCTTAACAGTATATAAATATTTTTTTTAGTAAGATATAAAGGATGTTGTGATCATTACTTGGAATGTTTCAAATTGCCACTAGTGGGATGGATAGTGGATATCAAGAAGGCACAAAAACTGTCTAAAGTGAAGCACCAAAGAACTAAAAACCTTTGCTTAATTCTTGGTAACATTGCTGTAGATCACAGATATTTCAGGTTACCTGTTTGAACTGAAAGAGAACAACTCTAAAATTTTGTCTCCAACTGAATACAAGCATTGAAATCCCCATTAATATCTTACATTAGATTAAATAGATGAAACTAACCCATAAACCAATAAAATAACATGAAAAGTGTTCTTCTCTGCTATAAAGTCAGTTTTCATAAAGCTTTGTTATTTTAATTTTTAAAAGCAGAGAATGCAGACCAAAATCCAATTGAGAGGCACTTCAAAATAGCATTTTCTTAAACTACAGGCTTAATTTCATCTATAAACTTATTGTGCATTATTTATCCTAATTTCTTTAAGAACTTAAAGAAATTAATTGGAGTCATGCCATAACAAGGTCAAGGATTAATAGCTTAAATGAAACAGCAGCTAACTGGGTTTTCTTTTCCAGATTCAAGAACAATTACAGAAGAAAAAGGTGTTTGTTTTTTTTTTCAAACCTTTTTGATTTAACTGGAATAAGAAGGAAGCTGGGAGTTGGCAGTTTTAGACCTTAGTAAATATTAAAGAGATGGTGTTAAAAAGTGATTTTGAGTCTCTGGTAACCCCAAAGATTATCTATCATCTTCAGAAGTCCTTAAGAGTCTATGCAGCTAAAATAAGATTGTGAGAGGGAAGGTCATGATATGGAAAAGGACTGACTAGAAATCAAGACACTTGAATTCTAGACCCTGATCGGCCATTAACTAACTCCATAGTTTCCAGCAAGTTACCTGTTACTGTCTGAGCTCAGCTGTCTCGTCATTAAGAAGGAGGAAGTTAGTCTAAGACTGTAAGCAGCAGAGGGGGGCTGAGCTGAGTAGGAGGGATTGGGAATAGACTCATTTCACACCTGCTTCCATTTCCATCAATATTCATCTCATAAATGGTGTTCATTTGAATTTAAGGACGCTGCTGATTTTAAGAGGTGCCCTTATTTTACCTGCTACCAAGAAAGTAAAACCGCTGCCAAACAAATTATGATGCCCTATTAAAGGCATCCCTAGTTCAGAAAGTTTCAAATGTGAAGAAAAAAAAGTTAATCATCTTAGAATTGACAAAATATGGCTAATTGAATGCCTCCTCTGTTCTGGCAGAAAGAGCGTTGCCCTCTGTAACACAGTGCTAAATGATGTCTAGAGGGTAGCATTCGGCTTAGGGAACTGGGCCCAAGTGCATATGAACTGGAAAACTCAAAGGCTGATTCTCTGATTCCATGGTCAGTGATCATCCACTTGGACTTTGACCCCCAAGATCAGGTGGTTAAATTTCTTAAGTACATGCCTGAAAATTGAAGACACAAAGCTCCCCAACAGAAATGGGTTCACTGCTAAAAACAGGTCTTTCGTGTCTTCAGCTGAGAAAGGACTCCTCATAGTGCTTTGATGTTTTTTGGTGATATCCATAGATGCATTCAGAGGCATCATCTTAAAGCACAAAACAATATAGCTTGTGTGTATTTTATATACTTATATGCATATATTTGTATTATACACAAGTAATATATATACATATGTATGTATCTATACACACACACATCTACTTTTATTTACTGTG